TTGTTCAGCTTTTCTCAGGATCGAGGATGGAAAAAGCAGAAAGAACAGCTTGTAAGGTCTGGGGCAAACTGCACAGCATTAAGAAATATTTTCTTCTAATTGGAGCCTGTTTGACCCTGGAGCCAGAGCAGGGTAATGGAACAAGCACGGCTCGAATGAAGTCGCTTTTCACCGCATTCTGCAGAAAGCAAGAGAAGGAAAGAGAGAAAGGCAAAGAATTTCAAGGGGGGAGAGCCAGAGAGATGCATTAAGGGCAAGAAGAAAAGGCAGAATATATCATGGGAAATGGCCAAAGGAAATGAGACAAAAAAGGCAAAGAAGAAGAGCAAAAATTAGGGAGAAAGGAAGAGAAAAGGAAACAGAAAAGGAGAAGGAAGCAAGGTGAAATCGCAAAGAAAAGGAGGAGTGTCCTTCTGCCCTGCCAGGCAGAGTGATGAGGTGGCAGGACAGGAGCAGCCCCAGGCAGGAACGCTCGTTATTTCCATCCTGGCTGATGTCATTGATTGCTTCTCCCCTCCCTTGTCATGCCTGGTGACAGAATCCCAGGAATTGCGACTCACAGCAACCTGCTCTGTTCCTGATTGGCCCAGGGAAAAGTTTTCTTTCCAGCTCCAAACAGGCATGGCTTTATCTGCATTTCAAGGTGCTCCTGGAGAACGTGGAGACCCTTCTCCTGGTCTGTCTCTTGCAGACAACCGGTTTCTCCTCAGCTGTGGTGCTGGGAAAATCCCATAGGATTGCTTCCTCTCTTACCTTGAGATCTTTCTGTTGTCAGCATTATTACTTTTTGAATTGACCTTGTTTTTCCCTCGCTTTTCCTGCTTTAAGGAAATTTCCCTCACAAAGCTGGGATTCTACAGCATCCAACCACCTTCTGTCAGGGGGTTTAATTAGTCAGAAGAAATAAAACAAATGAGGATTTGTTTGCCAAAGGGAAGAAGAGGGGGATGGGGAAAGGAAGATGGGCGGGACAGAGAAACCTTAATAATGAAGAAAGAAAGCAGAATCCTAAGTTACGTGGGTCTGAGGCTTTAGGACTTATTTAGAATGAGAAGAAATTGCCTCAAGTAGATTAGACATTAGGAAAAATTTCTTCATGGAAAGGGTTATAAAGCATTGGAACAGACTGTCCTGGGAAGTAGTGCAGTCACCACCCCTGGATGTGTTCAAAAAACATGTGGATATGGCATTTGAGGACATGGTTTAGTGGTGAACATGGTGGTGGTGTTGGGTTGGTGGTTGATCTTGCTGTTCTTTAAGGCTTTTTTCAAACTTAATGATTTTATTATTCCAAAAGGAACAGCCAGTGCTTTTTGTGGTTATCCACCCTCATGATGCCAACAAAAATCTCCTCACCAGCCATTTCTTCTCTGTAGGGTGGAGGGATGAACTCTGTGGCATCTCTTTAGCCAAAGTCCTTCCACTTGGCATGGCTTTTGTGAAAATTTGGTTAAAAGATGAGGAAGGAGGTGCAGATCAGGGGCTTTCCTGTGGGAAGGGCTGCAGAGAGACACCAGTTATTACACCAAAGTCTGATTTCCAACTGGCCACTCATCATTTGTGTAATGCCTCGTCTGTGAGCAAACACCTGACCTAGGAATAGTCCAGCACATGAAATCTCTTCCTTAGCTGATGGAGGACATAGGAGAGGGTTGTGGGTGATGTGGGAAAGGGGATTGAGAAAGAAGTGAAAGAACCTGAGGATTTTGGGGAGTGGAGGGATATCCGAGAGGATATGGAAGGGGGGGAATTAGAGATTCCTGTGTTGGGATATCGGGATGGAGTCTGCTCATCCCTTACAAACCGAACTCCATTCCTTCAGTTACTCCTGGATGGTTTAGGAATGAGTTACGTGTTGGGCTTTTTTTGCTTTAGTGGAGCTCCTCCCCCACTTTTATCCAGTTACCCATGAAAAGTCAGTGAAATGAGACCTACTTAAATCAAATGTCACAATCGATGCTCATCCCAGGCCACCATTTGTGTGATGTGAACTCACATCGCCGTGAGGGAGGAGCAGGGACAGGAAAAGGGGTTGGGAGCGAGCTTGGGGAGAGAGAGGGCAAGGAGCAATCCATGTCTGATCAGTGCTTTTATCACAACCAGGCATCTCTGGGGTGGGACAGAGCTACTGCCCACCTGGGTTCTGCAGGGGGGAGAAGCAAAACTGTGGCTTCTTACCTGACATTGCATCTGTCTCTCCCATACCCGCCCCCTAAATCAGAGTCCATTCCACATTTCAATTTATAAGGAGAAAGATATGCTACTTCAGCACTCACGCTGCCTGGATTATGTCCAATCTCAATTTTGTTTGATGGAAGATAAATCAAAATGTTGATACTTTCACTGAAGTACCTCTGCGTTCACCTCGTCCCCGGAAAAAAATGCTTCTAACCTTCCGTGAATATTTGGCAGGAGTGAATTTTCAAGATGAAAAACACAGTCATATGACTTGTAAAAATTGCAGTCATCTAATCTCTGTAGAAGTTTAGGGGAAGGCTCCACATGTGAGCTGAAACATTTTTTCGTTAGCATTTTGGGAATCTCTGAGTGGAGGAAGATGCAGGATGATGCAGGATTGGTGAGGCTCAGCACCCTGTTACTCCTGCAGTTTCTGCACAACAGTCGTTAGTTAAAAGGACTGAGAGATTGTTTTAAAGTTCCATAATTTCTGCAAGATTTGTGGTCGAAAGGAACGGTGAAAGTCGGAGGGTCCACAAGAACTTGCAGAGTTTTATTAGTGAGTGACACACTTGACATGGAAATTGGGATGTTACTCCCTGATCTCCTGGTGTAGGCACAGGGCATTTTGGATAAAGGGGTAGGGTGAAAGGGAAGAGGGAGAAGATGGATTAAAGAGGGAGAGAGAGAAAGAAAGGAAGAAACAAGAAAGGGAGAAAGAGAGATCATCAGTCCTGGCTCCAGCATTGTCCAGGATCCTGGGGTGCCTGTGCCCCCAAGCTTCATGGGGGCACCTTTTATAGATAAGTTTTCCCTGCTAGTTTCTCACTTTCTATGCAAATTAGTTATCATTCACAGACCATTCTTCTAGACCTTTCTGGAAATGGGTTAGAGGCTTCAGGGGTCTTTGGTGGTTCTTGATTATACCCCTTCACTGCATGCCCCCTTCTCGACCTCATTCCTACTCTTGTCCTTCTTATCTCCAGGAGCCAGGGCGAGGATATTTGTCCCAGAAAAGTGCTGCCCTACCTCCACATGGCCCCTTCTCCAGCCACAACAATCCTTGGTTGGCTCCACAGCCATCTGGCTACCAATGCTTGAGACGTACACTTTAACTCCCTTATCCTCTGGGCTCCTACAGTGTGTCACTCAATTTTGTGTCAGGTCCTCTAGGATCTTGTGCCAGCCTTCCCAACAGCTCCTGTGGGATTCACTGCACTGGTGTGGTGAGAGGTTTTTTCCTCGTTAATTCATCCCAATGAGTTTCAAAATATGGGGACTTAAATCCTCATATTAATTAATTAATTCCCCCTCCAAATGTATGAGGCACTCCTGGTTAACATAAGCAAATAAGGAAGATCTTACCTTACCAAGTCCTTCAAAATCCAGGGACAATTCAGTCAGATCCCTCTGTACTGGGGTTGTTTATCTCCTCTTCAGGATGGGCTCTGTGGAGTAAACCTGTGGTGACTGTGGGCCTTGAGTGAAGGGACACATGTTTGCTTTGCCCATGTGTTGAGCTGGCCAGGCTCCATCTGAGCACAGCACTGAGCCTTACCTGATATATTTTGCTTTGCAGAAGGCTCAGTAGCCTGGAACAGAGCTGCCACAGCCTCAGCCTCATGGCATCCCGCTGACTGGAGGTTCAGGTTGAGCAGCCTCCTGCCTGCCAACAAAACAGTGCAGTCAAGTCCTTAGAGAGCTACCTGTTCCATTCCCAAATTTTTGTATAGTTCCCTTTATTTGTGGGTTTTTTTCCCCCTCGTGCTAAGCCCTCGCTGTGTCAGAAACCGTCTCATGTCCACGGGTGAAGCGATAGGTGTTGGTGCTGTGCCAATGCAATGACAGCCCTGAGTGGGCTCCCACCCCTCTGCACACGAGCTGATCCCTCTGAATAAAGGGTTCTGGTGTGTCTGCTGCACGGTGGGTCTGTGCCTCTCTGCCTCTCATGCCAGCAGAGATCACTGATGTGGAAATGAGCCTGCAGCAGGGAAAGCCAAGTGGGATCCAAATCCTCCCTCTGAGCTGAGGACAGGGCAAGTTTAGTGGTATCAGTCTGGCAGATGTTGGTTGGTTACACAGTCACAGCCAGGCAGAGAACTCCATTAGGAGAGGTTACAGCAAGTGTTGGGTTGTGTCTGCAGATCTTTTCTGTTCAGACCATTCCAACCAGGTTTTCCGGTCTGTATGACCCCTTTTTATGAGGAAATGCCTCTTGTAGTAGTGTAAGAGTAGTGAACTGATGGATGGTATGGCTGGATTCTGGGTCCCTGGGGAGGACATACACCTTGTTTTTCCTTTACTTGCTTCAGTTCATCCTTTTCCAGATGAATGTCTATAGCTGGTGGAAAATTTTCACCTTCTTTTCATCCTCCACCCTTCATCACCACCATTCCCAGAAGAGCTCCTTGGTAATTGTTCCAATGCAGGCATTGCCTTCTGCTGTTGCCTCATTAATTACCTCCCAGTTTCACACTGGATGGGAAGGGCCTGATCCTCCTCTTGCAACCCACGTTTGCCTTCCACAGAAATCAGAGTTGTTACCCAGACTTGATACTGGGGGGTGTATGTGTGAGTGTGGGAGCAGAATCAGGTCCAAAAGAAGTCTGGACCAACCAGAAATAGATCCTGGTCTCCTTTCCTCCTTATTTGTTTGTACAGTGTGATGTGAAGGTCAGGTGAGTTGACACAGAGACAATTAGGAGGAAAATTCTTGCCATGAAATTTTGCTGGTAGAACTGGGGTTTTATTTTATTTTATTTTTCCTGAGCGTCTTCTATTTCTTTCTTTCTTTTTTTAATGTCTTACTTTCTCTCTTTCAGAACATGGAAAAGGTGCTGGTCCCTTCTGTCACGTTAATTGTAGGCTGTGGAGTATCTTCGCTGACACTTTTGCTGTTGATTATCATTTATGTCTCTGTTTGGAGGTATGGCTTTCATTCTCTTCTCTTCTCTTCTTCTTGGGGAAAGTAACTGGGTTTTGATCTGCATGGATCCTGAAGTGTTTGCACTCTGATTTTGGGTGTCTAGTGCCTGAGGAAGAGCTGTTTGGTAATGAGTGGGTCCTGCAGAAAGTCATCCTGGTGGCTTAGCTGGCATTGTTCTTTCCTTTCAGTGCCGGAGAAATTAGTAGAGTGAAATTAGTGCCACGGCCCCATGTAGTCTCACTATTCCACTTCCAAAAGCCTCCTGCTGGTTTAGATGCCTTTGTAAACTCCAGGAGACCTTGTCTGGGGCGAGGTGGACACGTTCTGCCTCTGGGCAGGCCCTTTCCTTCGAGGTACTGCTTTGATACCATCACAGTTCCCATGACCTGCCATGAAAACACCTGGCCTGAAGAACTGACAGAACTTCTCAGGAGCTTGAGGATGTTAAGCCACATCACTGAACTCCATCACCTAAATAACTCTCCTACCTCTTAGCTACGTTTTACCTTCATCTTCAGATTCAAATGGGAGTCCTCAGTGCATCCCATGGCAGAGAACTCCTGTACACACATAAGCGGGTCAGGTGGAACCTAAAATTGTGTCATTTATAAAGGCTGAAGTGAATTTCTAGCAAAGTTTTATTGAACCAAGGCCCATATTGGCCCATGCCCCTGTTAGAAATGTTTTGGTGGACTGTATAAACCAGAGAACCCGAGGTGTGCAAGGGATTTTCTCCCTGTATTGCCTTGAATAAGGTCTGAGTTTATCCCACGAGACCCATTCCTTTCATAAATCCATGGCAAACACGCTGAGACCTTCATGGCTCCACACTGAATAAAACAAAGACAATCAGAACCAGGTGACTGACTGTGCAATGAAAATGGAGTGGCTACAGAGAATCTAACTGGATATTACTGGTGATCCTTTTGGGAGAAGGGATCAGTCTGAGGCTCTCCTTTTGTCAAGTGACTCTCCTTAGGAAGGAAGGAAAGGGGAAATTCCATTCGGAGGTGTGAATTGAGATAACTTTTTCTACTCTTTGATAGAGGAAAGAAACAAGAGAGTAAAAAAAATGAGCAAAAATGCATCTTTTTTTGTTGATACTGTGACAGTGCATAGTGGCTGGTTAATTTTGGCAAGTGCTACGAGCTGAAGACTGATCATGATAACATTTATCTAGAACTCAGGTTTTTCCGTGCCTGGGGTATCATTGGATGTGCTCAAGTCCTTGTCCTCTCCTGCTTTTCCTCAGGCTGGGCAGCACTGAGCAGCGCTGGTAGGTGACTTACTGGTGTCACTGGTGTCAGGATCAAGTGGAAAGTTAGGATTGGAGAGTAAAGTGCAAGTGTTCGAGCCTCACCCTCTCTTTCCTATCAGAAACAAGTTCAGGATCTGAAACCCAAGCTCAGACATGAGGTCGAATCAGTTTGGAACATGCCAAGAGTCATTTGGAATAACACGGTGTATTTTTTTCCAGGAGCGTGCCCCCTCAATATTTACTGTTATTGAGGACAGTAAATTGCCTGACCTGTTTAAAATATACTCTGCTTAATTTCTCATTCCAGCCTTTGCCTTGTGCCTGTGCCCCAAACGATCAGCACCAATGGGGGGACACGTTTATGGGAGGCTTGAATGGGTATTTCTGAGCTAGCCAAGGATGGACATGCATTTCCAAGTGATCCTGAGACCAGCTTTATCTTGGTTAAAGGGCTCTCTATCCTAAGTCTCTCTGTGTAAATATTTGTAAAGCATGATCAAGTGATCTCTAGAATTTCTCTCTGGTGCGCTGAGTTTGTTCCATTTCTTCTCTGTAGATCATGTTTCCATGTTTTCTGAACTTCACAGCATTCCCGTGGCTGAGCCCTGAGCACTCTGTGTGTCCTTTTTATTTTAGGCATAGCTGCTGGACGTGAATGTGCTGTCCTTTTAATGGTCTCAGGAACCTCATACTCAAGTCAACGTTATCTCCTTGCTCCCACTTTGTTTTGCCCTGAATGTAACATATTCTGATAGACAACAGGAGGAGTGTTTAGAAATGGAATCAGAAGTATTATTCCACACAGGAGCAGTATCAAAGTGGTTCTTTTTCATCGTGCAGGGGAGAAACTCCTCATGCCCTGGCTGCCTGATCTTTTGTGGAGAGCCCTCATCCAGAGCTCAGCTGTTTTTGGGAGCTTTGGCCGGGAAATTTCCCATTCAGAACTCCGGACAAAGGCATCTGGAGCATGCACACATAGACCCAGCTTGAGGATGAAACACTTCTGATGAATAAGCTCACTGAAGCTGACACTCTGGAAGCTTTCCCAGAATTTTGCCCAGCTAGGGTTTGTTTATATGTGTGTATATATATGGGAAGCAGAAAGAAAGGGCGGGTGAGAAAGAGGGAGAGGGACACGGTAAAGAAAAGGGGGAAGAGTAGAAGGGAGGTGATCTCAGCTTTGGGGAAGGAATTTACCCTCCACTTCCCATTCAAAGCCCCCAAATAATGGTTGCTCCTCGGTGGCATCTACTCAGCCACTGGCGTGAATGGCACGAGCTTTTTTGATGCAAGCGATCACTTCAGACACGGCCAACTTGGCACAGCCTCCTGGAAAACTGGGAGTTGCTTCTGTTTGCCGGCTGTTGGTGGCCTGTTGGTGGACTCACTCCAGTTCCCAGTAGACAGATGGCTGCAAAAATCTCTGCTGCAGATGGTGCATCTCTGGCCTTATTAGCAGGCTCGACAGAGGGGTCAGTGACACAGTGGGCTGTGGAAGGGGAGTGACCTTGTTACATCTCGGCAGCGCCTGGCCCGGGTCACAGCTGGAGGCACAATGTGCGTGTGGGCCACACGCTCCACCACCCACGTGGAAAAAGAGGGGGAACTGAAAGAAAAAAAAAAAGATCTTCCCCCTTGAAAATGGGCGTGAAGATGAAAAACTCGGGAGAAAAAAAACTCCAGCTACTCAAGGGTCAGAACAGGTGAAATGACTTAGTGCTGTGTTCCTCCGAGCTCTGTTTTGTGCCACTCCTTTCAAGCAGCTCCTTGACACGGTGGTATTTCAGGATGCGTTTTCCGTCCCTGAACTCATCGTGGTTCAACAGCCTCTGGAGTCAGTGACCTTTCCATAGCCTGGAGATCGATGCTGGCTATTGAATAGCTCATCCACCAGCCCATCAGCATGTGGGGCACGGCAGCCCCTGTTCCCTGGCAGCAACTGGGGGAGAGCTGGATCACTGGGAGATAACACAGGGAGCTTTTCTCTCCCTGCCCTGCAGAGCCTGAGGATTGATTTAGTGGCTGTCAATGAGCTCTCCAGGGGCTTTTAACACTTGCTTTAAACCTCGGAGCTCTGCGGCCCTGGTGGGAGGCAGCAGGAATGAGTAAGTGACTGCAAGGAGAGGGATGTGTGTACACACAGTGAGAAAGCAGGAGTGACTCAGTGTTTGTGGGAGCAGGGGAGTCTAATGGGGGCAGAGAGACAGACTGCAGGGTTTTCCCACCTTTTCCATCTGTCTCAGCTTGAGCAGGGCTTCCCCACATGCTGCAGGATGTGGGGAGCCTCTCTGGTGACCAGCAACAGGACCTGAGTGTCAGGAGAGGTTTAGGTGGATCTCAGGAAAAGGTTCTTCTCCCAGAGAGTGTTTGGGCACTGAACAAGCTTCCCAGAGAAGTGCTCACAGCACCAAGGCTGCCAGAGCTCAGGAAGAGTTTGGACAACTCTCGGGCACATGGGATTTTTGGGGTGGTTCTGTGCAGGGTCAGGAGTTGGACTCCATGATCCTTGTGGATTCCTTCCAACTCAGGATATTCTGTGATTCTAGGACACAAGCCAGAGCAGAAGTTCCCTGAATTAGCAGTGAGTTTTTCCCTGCTTTTGTGGCTGAGTACAGCATATTTTGATAAGTAGACAGAGTCCATATATCAGCCAAAGGGGTAGCAAGACAGCACCCTGGAGTAGCTCTGTCCTTGCTGGAGATCTGTTTTCTGGCAAAACCTATCAAGTTGTGTGCTTTTTTTCCTCTCTGATATGAGTTCCTGACTTCTTTGGCCGGAGGGGCTGGGTAGTATTGATGATTTCTTTCTGTGGAGCATCCTGTGCTGGGGAAGAGGAAATGGAAGGAGAAAAGCAAGCATGGCAGGAGGTCTCAGCATTCTGATTGAACTGAAACATAGCAAGGAAATGCTTGGAATCCAGGTCAGGCTACCAAGGAGGGCTCTGGAAGAATTGCCCAGGAATGCAGGATTGAATTAGAATGGTCAGACCTCAGCTGCCTTTGAAACTGGAGAGTGATGTGAAAGGCACTAGGAAGGGTTTCTGGAGGTTCATCAGCACCAAAGGATTACCCAGGGAAGTGTTGGCTTGGTGTGGAATGGGACAAGGAGGCTAATGGAGAGGGAGGTCGAAAGGGTGAAGGTACCCAGTGCCTTCATTGCCTTATTCTACTGGCAAGGTTGGCTCCCAGGCACCCGAATTCCTACACAGAGGCAAAATCCAGGGAAGAAAGTACTCCCCACTGCCAAGGAAAAGAGAGACAGGGATTATTTAGGTTATCTGGACACTTGCAAATCCATGGGACAAAATGGGATGCATAGAGGGAGCTCTCTGGTGTAGCTGTGGAACCGCTCTGTCATCTGGGAAGGTTCCTGACGGCTGGAAGAAGGTAAATGTTACACCCACCTTTAAAAAGGGCAAGGGGGAGGATCCAGAGAAACAACTGACTGGTCAACCTACACAGCCCTTGGGCTGATTAAAGAGCAAGGAGTTAAAAAGGTTATTTCCAAGCAAAATGATGGACAGGGAAGTGATTGGGAATAGACAGCGAGGATTTATTGAGGGCAGGTTGTGCCTGGCTGACCTGTTTCCCTGCTGTGGTGGGATGGATGGTTACATGGACGGTGGAGGGGAGTAGGTGGTGTGTATTTTGACATTACCAAGGCCATTAGCACAGTCTCCCTTGTATCCAAACCAGAGAATCGTGCACTGGATTGTTGGTTTAATAGCTGGATGGAGTTCCTGCTGGATTTAAGGGCAATGGTCAAAGGTTTGCAGCCTCATCAGGAACTTGTTGCTTCTGACCAGGGTTGGTTCTATGGCCAATATTGTTTAATGTCTTCTTTAACAACCTGGACCGTGTTTGACACTCTTGTGGCCACATCTGGAAAAGTTTGTCCAATATTGGACTTCCCCGATACAAGAGATTGGAGCAAATCCAGTGGATGCTTAGGGGGCTGGAGAACGTGATGCCAAAGGGTGTCACAAGCTTGGAGAAGGGTTGGCTTGGAGAAGAGGAGGCTGTTAAGGAGTCATAGGAGAGTGGAATAACTTGTGGAGGTAGGCAGGGAAAGGTCTTGAGGCAGCAGCTGCAGCAGGAAGAGATCCAGCTGGATATAAAAAATAATCCTTCACCACCAGAGCAGTTAAATGCTGTCATCCAGGAGAGGTGGAAGCATTTCTGTTCTTGGTGTTTTCCAAAACTTGATTGGACAAGACCTTGAGAAGCCTGATCTGACTTTGAAATTAGTGCTTTTTTTTGGGCATAGGATTGAACTGGGAACTCGAGAGGATTTTCCCCAACCTAAATTACTCTGATTCTGTGATTCTGTTCACTGCCAACCCACGTCTTGTTCTTTGGATGTTCAGGGGTCTGGGGAACAGGATGGACTCTCAGTATATGAAGGGAAGCAGGGAGAAAGGAGAGCTTGGCTTAAGGAGGTTTAAGGTGGGAACAGTGTGAGGACAGCTGGATTATCTTCCCTTACTTTCACATCCAGACTATATTAATTTCTTACCTTTTTTGACTAGAGGAGGTTTTTGAAATGCACCAGTTGGATCATAGTGTTGCTCCACAGATTTATTACATCTCATTCCCACCAGGACAGAGTCCAAATCTCCTTTTCTACCCCCCTAGAAGCTGCTGATTGGAGACTTGATGTTTTACTTCACACAATCAAAGCACAGATAGACTGATGACTCAGTACCCTCTAGCCACAAATGGAATGGGATGCAGGTGATGCACAGCATTTTACTGAGCTCAAGGAAACCAAGAAATTCAGGATCAGATTGGCCAGGAAAGGAACCAGAAGCAAATTTTGCAGGCAGTCAACCTAGTTTCTAGCTGAGCTGGGATCCTAAATCTTTTAGCCTGTTCTGGGATTGGGTGAGTTTCAGGGAGAATTACCCCTAAACCAGATTTCCAACAGCCTAAGTAGAAGTTCAGTTCACTGCTTTGTACCAGTGGCTTTTTTGTATCCAGGAAATCATATCGTCATATTCATGTTTGTCTGAAAACAAAACTCAGAGAAAACTTAAAATCAAAAGTTTTACAGCCTTCATTAGGTCTAAAGCACAGATTTACCCTTGGCAGAACACACACGTGCAGTAAACTCGTCCTGCCCTCCTAATCAGGAAGCCAAAACTCTGCAGCCGAGGCACGACCAACTCGCACTAAAATTAATTAATGAAATTAAATTCCCAATATAAATAGTTGCCGTGCTGGAATATAGGAAATAATCCTGCATTAGCCTCCAGGGATGAGCTGGTTGATTAATACATCTGTTTCTAATTTGTATAATCATCAGCACCTACTCTTCGCTCATCTGGTATTCAGGCAGGGCCTTTGCTGCATCACTGGGATAACTCACATGTGTGAGTGTTGGTGTGGTGAGACCCCGAGTCAATCCTGGAGGACTTGCACTTTTGCAGTTCCCTTTTCTTTTTTTTTTTCATTTTATTAGGTACGTAAAAGTGCCTTCAAAGAAATTTTCCTCCACGGCCAGTGGTTTGAATTAATTGTCGTGCCCACACCTCAGCAGCAAGTCAGGGCCGTGCTGCAACATTGCAAATCAGAAGTGACAAATCCCTTGCTCCTGCAAGGTGCTGAAGGCAACGGCTTCTCGACTTATATCCCTCATGTCCCAGACCCGTGGCTGCACTTGCGTGTTTGGCCTAGTTCTGAGAAGTGTTTTTAGAACAAAAAAAAGAAAAAAAAAAAAAGCCAGAAATGCTTCTTCCTTCAGGATGCCTTGTTAGGTTAAAGGGAGGGGAATGCTGAACCACACACACTTTGTTGTGAAGGCGCATGTGTTCGTAATCTGCTTCCATGGCCAGCATGCCTGTGGCTCTTCTTATTTGGGAATCTTTTCCATGTGTTGCCTGTATGTTTTTCTTTTAAGCTCCTTTTCAAGCCCCTTTCCAAGTAGGCAGAGCTGAAGAAGACTTGCAGCACTCTACTGTCTTAGGAGGGGCTCAGACTAGGCTGGCCCCTAGTTTGTTGGCTCCTAACTCCAGCATTGAGGGGGGATGGTGGAGAGAACTCCTCCCCCTGCCTTTCCCCCTCGTTCTTGTTTGCTTAACACACAAAATCTGCAGGAAATGGGCAGCCCCTTGCCATGGCCTTGTGTAGAGCCTGGCCCAGAGCAACCTGCACCTGGTTGGTGGGTTTTAGGGGTGACTTGGTGCCTGTTGTAACAGGGTGGGTCTCCCTCCCCCTCTTCTCTCGCTGCAGGTACATCCGCTCCGAGCGCTCCGTCATCCTCATCAACTTCTGCCTCTCCATCATCTCCTCCAATGCCCTCATCCTGATCGGACAGACCCAGACCCGGAATAAGGTGGGAGATGAGTCAGGCTTTTGTTTATTTGTTTGGCTTTTCCCCTGATTTAGCATCAAAATGATCCGTTCAGGCAGCGCTTCCTCGTTTTTCCTCCATCTGTTAATTAGCGACATGTCAAAGGCACGGCTAAATGGCAGATTTCAATTTTCTCTCTCACTCTCCCTTTGATAATTTGTCAGCATCCTCAGGGCTTTGATTAAAACCAATGTGATATTTTTGAATATCTGCCTAGAGTAGCTGGCACATGGCACGGTGAAGAACCGTGGTGTTTTGCAGGGCTTTAACCATTTTATTTTCAAAAAAAAAATATTACGAAGACAGATAGAGAAAAGGCTTTTTTAAAGAAACAAACAAACAAACAAACAACCTCTCAGGTTTACATTTATTTCTCCAGCAATTTTGATACTCTGAACTTGAAGCACTTGGCAGATATTGATGAACACAGACACAAAACCCCCCACCTTTTTTGGAGCAGGAAGCATTTCCAGATGCTCTGTTCACACTGCAGAGCCTCGAGGGACTCTGTGCAGATCCCAGGGTGACTTGAGCAGGACAGACAAGATCTGATGTGGTTTTCCAAGCCATGTGCACTGGTTGCACATCCATGCCTTCCCACATTATAGACCCAGCTGGAGGGGCGTGTGTGAAGCACTTTCACATTCCCTGTTGGTATCTGGAATGACAAATCAGTGCTCATCATCAGTGTTTTCCCGTTGTAAATTTTCCCATCTTCCCAAATGCTCCAACCATCATAACTGTTGAGCCAAAAAAAGTGAGGCAAGAAACCTCCTCCTCTCCTTCTGCTGCCAAAATCACAATCAGAAATCAAACATTAGTTATTACTGAACAGTAACCGGTGACCAACTGGGTTTTTTTGAGTCCCTGCTTTGGCAGCCAGAACTTGCTGTCACTGTTGGAAGCATATGAGGAATAAATTCTTCAGTCTGAGGGTGGTGAGGCACTGGAAGAGGTTGCTCAGAGAAGTTGTGGATGCTTCATTTGTGGAAGTGTTCAAGACCAGGTTGGATGAGGCTTGGAGCAACCTGGTGTGGTGGAAAGTCTTTCTGCCCGAAGCAGAGGGGTTGGAATGAAATGATCTTTAAGATCCCTCCCAACTCAAATCACTCTGTGATTCTACAGTTTCTGCAAGGAAGCCAAAGGGTTTAGTGAATCCCAGAGACTCATTTCTGTGGAGACCCCTTTGGGTTAGGGATAGGTTGTTTTAGGGAAAGTTTTCCAGCTACTTGAATCTTGTGTGTGAGAGAAGTGTGGAAACAAGCAGTCAGACAACTCTGCTCTTACTAAATAGGTGCCCTTCACAAACTCACATCACAAAGCAGAGCTGTCTCTCGTGGCCCACAGAGTTGGCAAGATGTGGAGAAGGGGTGACCCAAGCTCTTGCTTTCCTTGGGTGCATTGTCTGCAACCCCAAATGTGTGCTGAAATCTTTCTTTCAATACTGAGGGAGGCTCGAGATGACAAAGCGCGGCTCGCCCATGGTTTGGTTATTCTTCTTCACCTCGTGGAAGGAGGTGGATTTCTTCACCTCGTGGAAGGAGGTGGATTCCTTCACCTCTCCCACCCCCTGCAGAGCACAGCCCAGGTTCTCCCTGGTGCTTTTTGTCCCATTAATCAGGGTGTTCACCATCAGAGCTGGTAGTGGGGATTCAAAGCTCCCGGCAGCGATTTCGTGAGGCAGATTAGCTCGTTGCACATACATATGCATGAAACACCATAAATAGAAAGGTTATTCTTGGATTTCCTCTCAGCCATCTAGTAAACAGTCTCTGGCAGGGAACAGAGAAAGAAAACTATACAGACAAGAAACGAAGGAATGTAAATTAAGATTTTATTCGCGTTCAGTTATTGATAATAGAGCATCTTAAAAGTGTCGGTGATTGATTTATGATTGCAGTTTGCTCTGGGAGGATTTCCACGGGATTGGCTTCCCTGGAAGTGTCAAATTCTCCCTTGATTTCCATCCGTGTAACCTCAAAGGCAGGATTCCACGCCTGGATTTGCTAAGCTTTTTGAAGATGAAAGGCCTGGGAAAAGGCTAAAAAAAAATTACAGTCAGCAATACCCCGATACAAAAGAAATGCGTGCTGTGAGAACAGGCACTATCTCAGAGGCATGGCTTGGGTGCTGCAAGGGAACAGATTTCTCCTCTTAAAGGAAAACAAGGGCTAATGGCCTTGACAGGCTGACAAGCTCTGCTAGATCTTTCTCCAGCGGCTTGGGACATCATATCCCTGTGCTTAGCCCTTCATGGACGTTTATTTTTTTGCCCACGAGGAAGGAAGAACCTGGAGCAGAGGTTTTGCAGGAGCAAATATGTGCCTGCCCATCACTGGCCAAGTTCAGCTGAGGCGATGGGTTTATACATGTCCAGCTGAGATGTGCTTATTTCTGTTGTCCTCCCTTCCTTTCTTCTCCTCCCCTTTCTGTCAAAACTGCCTGATTGAGAAAAAACACCCAGAAAATGTGTCTCTCTCTGGTGTAAAATTATAAAGCAAAGTTTTTCTCTCCCCTCTTATAAACTGCTGGTAAACCGGGAAGTACCGTGTTGGTTCAAAACAAAATCAAAAAGGTGACATGAATAGTATCATATCTGATATCAGCAAAAAATACTAACCCAAAACATTCCAGAAAGCATCCTCTATTTGTAACTGTTTTATGTAGGTTTGTAAGCTGATGAATAGGAACCACCTTTTTAGGATTCTTTTACAATGCAAAAATTACTGGAAATTATCATACCAAGACATGTTTCTTGTCCTGAGCTGTCATCTAGAATCCATTTACAGGCAGAATACCAAGGTTTTTTTGGTGTCAAATACGAATATGGAACAAAAAAGACAGTTCCTATCTCAAAGAACACACGGCCTTGCTTTTATTCACAACCTCTGATAACGTGGCGCTGTGCCGGTGTATGAATGGAGAGCAATCCGATAAAATCAGGATAAAAGCCTCTCTGTGCATGAGAGCCCTGAGTTAAAAGCTGCTGGTGGATGAAAAAAGAGAAAGGTTCATTGACCGTAAACCCAAAGTCCGCATTTCCTGATACAACTCAAAGCGGAGAGAAATCCTTGATTATAAACCTCCCCCCTCCCCCAAATGCCTTAAGCCATTACTTTATCCAGAGTCACTTTTGAAGTCTGTTTGCTCTCCCTTCTCCTCGGGAGCCGCTGGAGTTTCTTCCCGTCGTTTTCTTCCCGAGTACATTGATTCACAGTTTCCAGCTCACAGATGGGGGAAAAACTGGCCGAGTTAAACAGAGCGGCACCAATTTGCACCAGTGAAAGATTTGGCCTTGCTGAGTTAAAACAAAGACGAGCTTGTCAGCTTTCCAGTCCATCTCCCCGGCACTCCGGGATTGTTCTTCATAATGCATTTGCGAGTACTTTCGCCAGTTTAATTTTAAATGGCTTAAGCTCCCTGCATTTCCCTTGTGAGATTTCCCCACTGAGTAGTAGAGCTCACCATTATGAAATTCCCCTTTTTTTTTTCTTTTTCCCTTTTCCCTGGCTGCTGGTAGTTCTGTGCTCTTGGACAACCCTGCCCTCATGTTTGCAGTCTTTTACCAGCCCCTGGCAGCCGTGGTTTCACCCGGCTCTCATGGCTTAACTCTTTCGCTCAGCTCTCCTTCCCTGGCAGGGAAACCATCCAAATTGCCTTCCTCTGATTTCGTTTCTGTGGCTCAGCTGCCAATGACATGGTGCTTTGCAAACCTTTTGAGCTGAGATTAGTACATGGTTTACTAACTACTCTGCACCCCCCAAACCCCCCAAAAGGATCGTGGCAATGGTTTTGATCTTTTGGAAATTAAGTATATCTTGCTCAAGCCAAGAAAGCACCAGGATGGAACATAAGCTCAGATTTCTATTGGAAAGTGTCCCTGCCTGTGGTGGGGGTGGGTGGAAGCTAAATGATCTTTAAGGTCCCTCCCAACCCAAACCATTCTATAATTCCATGATTCTGTGACTTCAGTGTTAACCATGGGCTTATCTCAGAGCTCATGTTTAAAAGCAGCCAATTTCCATGTAGTACTTAAATTTGCAGCCAACACTTTGGTCCTTTGCTAGGTCAAAGGTGGTGGGGGAAACTACCTTGTCCTAAAATGTCTTCTCATGTCCTGACTCCACGACCTTGCCTTCCAGAGCCTGGTTTGGAATCATCTCCCTGCGCCTTCCACTCTCCTACGCACTGCTCTCTCCGCCTGCCGCTCCTCTCACGTGTCCTCCTTTCCTCCTCTCTCTCTCCCCAGGTGATCTGCACGCTGGTGGCGGCTTTCTTGCACTTCTTCTTCCTGTCCTCTTTCTGCTGGGTGCTGACCGAGGCCTGGCAGTCCTACATGGCCGTGACGGGCCGGTTACGGAACCGCATCATCCGCAAGCGCTTCTTGTGCCTCGGATGGGGTGAGGATCCTGGGGCTGAGGAGCACAGAAGGGTCCAGGCTGCCCTGCTCTGCAGAAGGCTTGGCAGAGGGTGCTTGTAACCCTTTCAGGGGTTTCAAGAGGGGCTGAAATGGTTATAAATAACACAATCTAGAGCCATAAATTCTAAGCTCCCGGTGTGCCCGAGGGTCGCACAGAATAGATGAGCTGAGTTTTCAAAGGGTGTTCTCTGGGTGGTTTGTCCTGGGTTGGGGTTGCTTTCTTGCTTTCTCCTTTTCTCTCTTGCTGTCTTTCTCCATGTGGAATATGTCCATTGGTACGTGATACAAGCCAATGGGATCCTAACATTGTGTGGCCAGCAGGGTCAGGGCAGTGACTGTCCTCCTGTGCTTGGCACTGGTGAGGCCACACCTCGAGTCTTGGGGTCAGATTTGAACCCCTAACTACAAGAAAGACACTGAGGAGCTGGAGTGTGTCCAGAGAAGGACAGTGCAGCTGGGTGAGAGTCTGGAGCACCAGGAGCAGCTGTGGGGGGCTCAGCCTGGAGAAAAGGAGGTTCAAGGGGGACCTTATTGCTCTCTACAGCTCTCTGACAGGAGTTTGTAGCCAGGTGGGGGTTGGTTTCTTCTCCCAGAAAACAAATGATAAGACAAGGGGAAACAGCCTCAAAGTGCACCAGGGGAGGTTTAGGTTGGATATTAAGAAAAAATTCTTCCCTAAAAGGATGGTCAAGCACTGGAATGGGCTGCCCAGGGAAGTGGTGGAATCACCATCCCTGGCATTGTTCAGGAAAACACGTGGATGTGACACTTAGGGACAGGGTTTAGTGGTGGACCTGGCAGTGTTGGGTTAAGGGCTGGACTCAGTGATCTTACAAGTCCTTTCCAGCCTTAATGATTTCGTGATTCTAAGGTTCTACACCCAACCCAGAGTGAAGGGAGCTCTGAAGTCCTGTCTCCATGGCAGCGGCGCCTTTTGTAGGCAAATAAACTCCAAGACTGGTGCAGACACTTGTAACTAATTTTTCTCCCTCTGCCTCTGCCGTATGTTTAATTTATTAGCCCTAAATGATGCATTCTGTAGTAGAAAACAAATACAAACCCGTAACCTGGGCTTTCAAAGCAATAACAAGTGCGTGTCTGAAAGGAGCAATGGAACAAAAAGTTGCTGAAGAGCGAGGAGGAGAAGGAAAGAAAGGGAGGGGGGAAGCGTTGTGTGTCTGAGCTCTATTAGCACCTCGCTTTACTACTGAAGTCTTGCAATTCACCCCAGGCAAGAGATTCCTAATGCTTACCAAGCACCCTGATGTGATTTATTCTGGCACATCAAGAGCCCTCCTCGTCCCAGCACCTGCATCCCTTTAAGTTTTCGCTCCCGAGCTTTTGCTTACCGTGGAAAATAAATTGTGTTATTAAAACACAGTGTTTGTGTGTGGCAGGAGCAGCATCAACCACATACCTGCAGAGCACAGGCTGCACGAGCCTGTGTGTGTTCATGCATGTGTTTATACCTCCTCTGTGACTCAGGGAACATCAGGGATATCAAATGCAACGGACTAATAGCTTTTCTAGGTAATAAAATAGGTTTTTTTTTTCTGATCTGCAAAAGCTGGGACAGATGGGGCTTGTTAGGCAAGGGAATTTTGGATGAGCAGCATTCACATTTGTAGTCTGTACAGATTAAAAAAAAAAAAAATCTATATATCCCTACATGTGTAGAAGCTTAATTTGCACTGCTAGTAAAATGTAGTCAGCTCTGAGCAAGGATGCACTGCTGATAAATGATGCATAATAACCATTTGGAGTAGGTTAGGACAAGGAATGAAGAACACTCTCGTCTATTTAGGCAGCAAGGGAATTTTGGATATTTAGCATCCTGCTAGACTTCAGCTGTAGAGCTGGGATTAATGGCACTTGTAAGAGGGAAGAAGCCGAAAATATGTTTTAAAGAGCATAATCTGAAATAATTAGCACAATTCACTTTGTCATGGGCTCATTCTCCCCCCTTTTCCCCCTCTGCATATTAACATTTCTCTAAGCCCTCGTTGGAGACGTCTTTGCCAAGTCCTCAGCTGCTGTCAGCTGGAGCTCATTGAAACTGCAGAGGATTTCATTCCATGGATTTTTTTTTTGGTCTCCTCTTGGCTGTGCAACTTTGTCTTTCCAGAAAAGACTTTTTAGCAATTAGATTTTTAAGTTCTCATCTTTATTTTATATTATTGATAATTCTTGTCCATGTTTGAACAAAACCCTCAGGCACTTTTATGTGATTCTTTGGGTGATCCCGTGCAGGGTCAGGAGTTGGACTCCTTGATCCTCGTGTGTTCCTTCCAATTCAGGATGTTCTATGATTCTATGATCTAGAATAGGCAGATAAATTATTCCCTAGAAATAATTAATCATATTTAGCCCCAGTAAAGAAGAGATATTTTTGCGAATATTTTTATGACCATGTCATAGTTTCCACAACTGGATTTTTAGTTCTGCCAGAGCTCAGGCTCTGGGGCTTCAGCTGTTAATAACAGTAAAGGCCTTTTGTAGTTATTAGTAAACATCTTTTCCAGTGGAACATGACGAGCACATGACCTGTTCCCTTGTTACCTGGAAGTACAAAACTCTTTGAAGGAGGTTTTAGCCACGTTTATTTGGAATTATGAATGTAAAATCCGCTTTCTGCAGAAAGCCCCCAAAACCTTGGCAGTGACTGCCTCCACCACACAAGGTACATGGAACAGAGCAGTTGGGAATAAATATCTTTAAAATAAGCAAAGAAATAGATTAAAAATTTTATTTTTATGTGGGTTTTTTTCACTCTTATCACATCTGACTTTGGTTAGACAGCTCTCCCAAGGTGAAGGAGCACAGCACCTCTGATTATGATGCTCTTTGGTGTAACTACCACAACATAGCTACTACCTTTAGTAATTGTTACTTGTACAGACCCGCTTTCAGCACAAGTTGAGGCTTTTCCCCAGCCTTGGAAAAACTAGTCCCTGGATCTGACGAGTTCACAGCCTGAGCCTGTATTTCTGCATAATTATCACGTCTCAGAGAAGCACTTTGCGAAGAACAAGTTGCTATTTTTGGCGGAGTCTTGGCCAAATTTCCTCTTTCTCAGGGTCTCTTGCATCAAGCTGTGCTCCTGAAAATGTCCTTTCACGTGGGGGTTCTTCTGGATACCATATTGGTGGGACCACAGGGAGTGCAGCACCCAGGGAATGTCCAGATGAGGTGTGAAGGAGGCTCAGCAAGAAGAGCAATAGTCAGTTAAGAGAAAAAATGGGGGGAAAAAAAAAGAAAGGAAGAAAGGAGAAAAGGGAAAGGAGAAAAGGGAAAGGAGAGGGTCGGAGAGGGTTGGAGAGGAGAGGAGAGGGTCGGAGAGGAGAGGGTCGGAGAGGAGAGGGGAGGAGAGGAGAGGAGAGGAGAGGAGAGGAGAGGAGAGGAGAGGAGAGGAGAAAAAAGAGAAAAGGAGGGAAAAAGGAAAGGAAATTTAAAAGAGACATCTTTTAAACCCACTACCTGTTGAGTTTGGACTGATGACACTTGAGCTATGCTTGGAAATCTCATATGGGAATAGAAGCACTTCCCTGTAGGAAAACTCTCAAATGCCCTAATTGTGGTCAGCTTGGCCTCGTGGCCCCAGCTGGCTGCAGAGCCTCACTGCTCATCCATCTGGGCGTGACTCGTGTGGCTGAGTGACCACCTTGCCAGCAGGATTATGGTCTGGATGCTGTGTCTGCACATCCCTTCCATCTCCAGGTCTCCTGCAGTCACCTGCTGTAACCTCTGCAGCTCAGGAATTAGGGTCTTGTCGGGGAGCACTAATCCCAGCTGGCTACTGATCCTGCTGATTCCTAATGGGATTTGCCCATCTGTAGCATCGAGACAGCTTAATTCCTCGTGTCACAAGGAAGAGGGATACAAACAGCCACGTGGAGCCCTCCAGAGCTGAAGAACTAGGTGTTATCAGCCAATATCCAGGCATTTCTTTAGGGAAAAGGGAGAGCTGGGCTGGGGCTAGTGAACCTCCACAGGTCCTTGAGCATGGACGGATAAGAAGGATCAGAAGATTATTAGGAAGATGTAGGTTTTTTGTTGGTTCTCATGGTACCTGCATGTCAAGGACTTCACAATCTCTGAATATTTTATGAGTTTTAGGCCAATAACCAACAGGTTGTACAATAACCAGCAAGTTTTCTTTATGCTCCTCCCTCAAATTTTGTGGGAGCTTCTGTCAGTAGGATCAAGGCCATAATTTCACCCCTTGTGCACCTGAGATACATCCTGTGTTGTCTCCCTTAGTTCATGATGCTCTGAAGAGAAATTGGGGTGTCCCAGCCAGAGAATAACTTGCTGTTCCTTTACCACACTCATAATGAAGTGTGTCTTCTCCAGGGCAACAGGTTTCATTCCCCTTTTGGACACAAAATGGAGCAGGTCTCTGGCAAGAGGGAGTATGCTGTTTTTCCAAAAGATCTGATGTTCTGAAACTCTTTTCCATTGTTGTTCAGAGGAACCTGCTCTATTACAGATCTTGGGGGACCTGTTTGGGGTAGGGGAACTCAATTTTAGTTTCCCTTTCTCCTTCATCTGGGGCAAGATTTAAACTTGGGTTGCTTTGTCAGTGCAAACATAACTCCTGATCTTTGGGTTCCTTGAGTTGGGTTGTGGCTGAATATTCCCTCTTCAGGAGACACCCTGCTATATTCCAGGCCAGCCTGTGTTGTACCTAAGAATAAAATAAATAGATTTCATGCAGCTGGGTGTACTGTGAGTCCCCACACAAGTGCTGAGCCCACAGCAGGGGAGGAGCTGATTGCAGCTGATGGCTTTGATTTCATTAACAGAGGTAACGAGGAGGGTTCTGCTTTGGTCCTTCAGGAAGGTCCTGAATTCAGTCTCTGCCAGAGAGTCAGGCTGGGACAGATGGTGCTGGAATAACTCTGGGAAGAAAGAGGAATATTGAGTGGGAGAAGAGCTGCACATGTGCTTAAATGACCAATTTCCTCTTGTTTCATTTTCACAGGGCTCCCTGCCTTGGTGGTTGCCATTTCCGTGGGATTTACTAAAGCCAAGGGATATGGAACCGTCAACTAGTGAGTAAAGGAGCTCTTCCTGTTTTTTCCTTGTTTTATCCTCTATCCTTTTTATCCAAACCCAGTCACTGACCCACAGGAACCAGGGCAGGAGCCAAACTCTCATGTGCTCGTGTAAATTCCCCATGGCAAAGGGAAGCAGGGATAGATGATGGGAGAGGAAGGAACATTCCTGCATCTCTGCCTCCCCAGCCCATCATCTGGCCAAGCTGGATCATGTATTCCTTTAAAAACAAGCTCATAGGGACCAGTTAGATTGAACTGTTGTATATTTGACATCCCTTTGATCTAAATACCTCTTACTTTGAGACTTTTTTTAATGTATTTTTAAAGGGAAAAATGTGGAATACTTAAAGTTTAGGATGCTTAAAAATTAAAAAAAAAATAGCTTTTGTGTTTATCTGTTTAATGGTTTCCTTGATTGATCCCACATTTTCAAAACAGCTCAGCTCGGTTTTAGGCAGCAGAATGAGCCTGACCCTCTCAATCCAAGGTTCTGACAGCAATCTCAGTTTGCCTGTTTGACAAATTCTACAGGATTTGCCTTTAGGAAACTTTTATGTACGTGTAATAGGAGAAGAAAAGCAGGGTAGAAATAATGGAATAAGACTGTGCAGAGGCAAAAAATATATTAAGGCAGGGCTGGGATCACTCAGAGCTGAGCATTAGTACAACTTTAACTAAAAAAAAAGAAGAAAAAACAAGTATTATTTTTTCACTTTTTTGTGAAAAAGCTTAAAAGTGTTGTTCAGAGTGACAGTTAAAGAATAATATTTTATGTACAATAGGTCAGACTCTTCTCTACTGCAGCCAACTTTTATCCAGAGCCTTCCTGGCCAGTGCATCCCACACGGGCAACGTTTGACGCAGGAGTTGTTGATGTGGAGGGCAGCAGATGAGGCCTCAATAGGCCCACTGAGAAAATGTCATGTGGAACCTCCCGCTCTCCCTCTATTCCCACCATGTTCCTCACACCCACGACCAAATGGTCCCGAGTTTGTGTTTTAATTGCAGGGGAGTATTAAAGCAGCATTTTCCGTTTTGTTTGCAGCCTAAATGACTGCACTTTAAATTACTGCCCAACACAGAGGACTCAAGAACGTGAGGTTCTCCAGTGCAAATCCGTACACACAATTCCTGAAGCCTGTGCTGGCATTGGCATGCACTGGATGCACCTCTCCTGACTTACCCGTCCCAGCTCAGGTGTCCTGGTGGAGAGGGATCTCCAGTTCTTATGTGACTCAAAGAATAACACACAGCCTGGCTTTTGAAAGCATCACTGAGATCTCAGATTCCCTTTAGCTTTCCCGTGGCTCTGCTGTTTCTGGCGCATCCATGAGAACGACTCACAGTGAACAAGCATCAGGGGTGATGGGAGAGAGGTCCTGAGTGTTTGCTGAGCCCTGAATTTATACCTCCCAGAGGGAGAGCAGATCCTCTTAAATTCTATGTAGAAAGAAAGGATATGACACAGAGAAATCTTTCTGGGAAATCCTATTCAGTTCTTCAAATATTTTTGTGTATTTTACTGAATGGAAACGTTAAGGACGTTCCTGTCATCTTCACTAGATGAGGGTTTTTTGACTTATTTCCTCTCAGAAAGGACTTGTGAGGCAAAAATAAGTTTTCCTGGGGGCAGCTCTTTCCAACCTCGATATCCTAAACCCATTAATTTGAAAGTTTTAGTCACCCAAAGCAACCTCTGCAGTCTGTGCAGAGTAAGTAACTGGATTTAGTCATGCTCCCTACAGGAACAGAAAAAGTCTTACACTGTTCTACCCCCAAAATATATTTATAGACCGATGGGAATTAGTGCAAAAAGCTTTGTGGCTCTTTCCCCATCAATGTTTAAGAGCCACCACAGAGTTTTGTGGTCAGTGCTGACCACACAAAAGTGCCTGGGCAGGGAGGGGAGGAATGTGCAGGGAAGCACATCCTGTTTCCCTGCCCTGGACCACTGTGTGCCAACATCTCCCCAGAGCAATTCCCTCCAGACTGCAGCAAAGAGGGTGACAAAACCTGCTGGATTCCCGCTTTGCTCTGGGACTGGGACAACAGTGAGGTGGCCAACAGGCTGGGCTGACTTTCCAGCTTTCCCAGGTTGCTTAACCACACCAGCTCTCCTCCTTTTGCTGCTAATCCTCTGACTCCTTTCAGCACTAAAGTCTCTGTTGCTCCTTGCATAGAAGAGCTGGATGCCTGGGGGATGGCAGAGGATTCTGTGCCCCCAGCAGGAGCTGCAACCCGAGTGACACCATTTCCCAGCTCTGCCTGTCACCAAATTAGCAGAGAGGCTTCACACCCCAAAAAGTCCAGTTTGGTCTTCCATGATCAGCTGGACTTCCATGATCCTTGTGGGTCCCTTCCAGCTGAGGATACTCTGGGATTCTCTGGTCTTCCTTTTGTCTCCTTCCAATCTGCAGCCCAGCATGTGGGGAAGCTGATGAGTCTCACCAAAGTACCAGAACAACAGCTCCTCTCAAGCACAAAGAGCCCATCAGACACTCCTAACGCTGCCATCTTGCTGTAATTCCATACTTGGGTACCTTCCAGGACCTAAAGGGGCTACAGAAAGCCTGGAGAGGGACTTTTTACAAGGTCATGTAGTGACAGGACAAGGGGGAATGGCTTCAAACTGAAGGAGGGTAGATTTAGACTGGATATTAGAAAGAAATTCCTCCCTGGGAGGGTGATGAGGCCCTGGCACAGGTTACCCAGAGAAGCTGTGGCTGCCCCATCCCTGGAAGTGTCCAAAGCCAGCTTGGATGGGACTTGGAGCAACCTGATCTAGTGGAAGGTGTCCCTGCCCATGGCAGCGGGGTTAGAACTCAATGATTTTTAAGGTCCCTTCCAACCCAAACCATTCTATGATTTTATGATTTAATAAAATGTCTAATGCTGAAGGCACATGAACAGAACACAGACTTGGACCAAAGCTTGTCCAAATGTTTGTTGGTTTGTGGCCGCTGCAGAGATGTCTGAGGTGGTTGCAAAGCTCAGAGCTGTTTTAGTTTTGTCTCTAGTGTGTTTAGGGCACACACGGGGCACTTCAAATGGGCACTGCAGGCTTTCAAGGCACAATATTTCCATCTTGCAGAGGATAAGAAAGGCATTAACCACAACACATCCCTCCCTGTGAAGCAGGGGACAAGAGCTGACAAGATAAACCACAAGAGACTTCTCAGTGTCTTTCAAAGCATCTTCCAACCCTGCAATTTTTGGGTCCTAAGAGCAGTGCATTAGCACTGTGGAGGTGGGCATTAAGTCAAAGCAGGGCTCTGATATTTAGTTGAGCACAGAATTTAACACTCCACACCAATTTTTTTCTCTTCCCACTCAATGGTAAAAAAACAAACCCTGACATCCATCTCTGGGCCGTGGTCATGAGAGCATTTTGGGGACAACTGCAGGTGTTGAAGGCATTGCAGAACTGATCCTGGTGTTACAGACTCCCAGGGCAAAGCTGGTGTAAGGGACAGCGTGTGAAATGCGTGACATGTCCTCAGGCTGAAACTGTCAGGTTTATCTTCAGGATAAACCAAGGTGTCCAACTCCAGGTTAAGAGAGGAGCCTCCAGCAGGGTGGTCAAAGCAAGATTTCACCCAGTTTTGTCCTGTCTTTTCGTTGTACATGGGCTGAAGCTGCTCTGTAACAAGCCAAACACAGCTGAGCAGCAGGGTGGTGGTCTGACCATGAAAGGACTGGCCACATCTCCAAGAGATACAGAGAGATCAGAGCGAGTCCTGAGCGTGGGGAGGTTGCAGATGATGTTTAATATTTACCCTTTACCCAGCCAGACTGGTCCACCAAGTGATAAGTTGGGAAGGGAGAGAGAGAGGTTCAAATTAAAAACTGAATATATTTGCAGGATGTGGAGTATGTGTCTCATTCTCTGCGTGGTGATTCCCAGCAGCAATTCACTCAGCCTTTATTGCTCAGGACACTTCTGGAGTGCTGTGAACTCTCCATCTGTGATGAGGGGAGGAAGACACAAGGGGGCTTTTACTTTTTATTATCTGAGCAGCGTTTGAAAGGGCATTTTGGAGTTGTTTGGAGAGCTGCTGGGGCAGGGGAGAGGCTGCATTTCTAGTCTCGAATGAAAGTCTGAGAGGTAATGGAGGTCTAAAGGACTTGCCACTGATCACCTCCTTGTATTAGGCTGAATGCCTGAATAGTAACTCTCCTTTTAGCTGCTACTCCAGGGACTGACTCTGGCCCTCTAAAGCTTGACAAACAACCTGCTAGAGCTGTAACTGAGTAATTGAGGTTGTGGGAACTCGCATCCTTCCCCACAAGAGAGCCCATGAAAAGTTTTCTGAGAGCATTTCCAGGACACAGCAAATGTCCAGAGATCCTTGTGTGTCATTGCAGCAGGACTTGTGTCACCCACAGGCATATCAGCCTTTTCTGTGTTAATCTCTGAATTAACTCTGATGGGCCAGCCCTGATTCCCAGCTCTAATCTCAGTTATGCAGATATGTTGGAGCTGCTGAATTTGACACACAATTCGAGGTGAGACCTGTTGCTGACAGAGCTGTTTGGTGTGAAAAAGGTCTCAGTGGAAGTCAGCTCTTCACAGGACCAAGACAAAAGCCACCCACCTCACAGTCTGTGCTGTGGCAGAGTCACAAAAGGATCAGATGTTTTGCAAAGAGGTTTTTTTGTGTTGAGCACAAGAGCTGCTGTCAGTCAGGGAAACACTGCTTAGCAATCATAGTCTGGAGCTGCTGAGTGTTGTTAAAATATCCACTTACTCCCATCCAGGGGTAATTTTATTTATAAGATGAATGAAGAAATCCCTTGGAAAATACTCTTAGTGAAATGCAGATATTTCTTGTAGGCTCAAAGCATGTCCACTGCTCTGATGTGTTGCTGGGGTTTGCTGTCAGTACCCCTTCTCAGATATCCCTTCACCCTTTCCTTTCCCTTGGTGTTATCCAGCACCTCTGGCAGCCTTGGAAACGCTTGGATTAAGCACTGTGGGATGGAGGTTGGGCAGTCAGAAGGGATGAGGACCAGGGGGAAGTCACCTTCCCAAATCCTGGTGCTCAGAGGGGAACAGGAGCTGCCAGGGACCCCACAGGAATGAGAACCCTCCTTGCACAGAGTCCTCATCACTGATTCCAGTGCAGGATGTCACCTCCTTCCTTCATCTAAACCATCAGTTGGAAGAGACCCTGAAAAAAACCTGCATCTCAAAATTAGAATGAAGCATTGGAGAAAAAGGTCTGGGATTTAGGAACCCTCTTCTTGTGTTTAGGGAGAGCTCCAGAGCTTCATTTTTATTCCCTTTCTCCTCTGCTGATTATTCATTTTATTATTACAGCGGCTCAGACAGTTTGTGACAGAGCAAGTTGCTATCAGGAAGAAATCAGAACTGATTAAATTAACACATTACAGGTTTAATTTAGACATAAACAAGACACAGAGCTCAGTGAAAACCAGAATGTCCTGCTTTCAGCTCTCAATTTGAAATACTTTTTTCTTTTTCAGTGCCTTTTCACAAATTTTCTCTGTTTTAGGGTGAAAAAAAACCACTGGTTTTTTTTGCAAATCAGAATTAATGCAAAAAAACATACGAGTCTGATCAACAAAATTGAAATGTTTCCAGCAAGGCTTTTTTTTTCCCTGGGAGCATCAGTTTGCTTCTGATGCAGAATGAAACCATCTTGCTGAGAGCAGGGGCATGTCACTGAATTACTGCAGGGTGAGCTGGGTTAAGAGCTTGGAGAAAGTCTTCTCTCCATTGTGGTTTCCTGCTCTTCTCCTGTGGTAAATCCATGGTGCTTTCCTGCTGAAACAGGATTACTTTGTCACACATTTTCTGCAGGGTTCTGCCTTGTCAGAGCATGCAAACTTTCCGTGGGGTTGCTGACACAGTGTAAATTCTCATCCTCCCTCGCCCTGAAGTGCCAGGTTTATGTGGCCATGCCCTGAATTGCTGCATCCCCCACAAAAATGGGAATTTCAGCCCCTGTGCTGCTGTAACTGTGGCTGTTGCAGAGTCACAGACTTGTTGAGGTGGGTTCTCTGGAGTTTTTTGGGCCAACCAGCTGTTCAGGAAGGGTCAGCTAGAGTTGGCTGCTCCAGGAACGTGCCCAGATGGCTTTTGAATGTCTCCAAGGATGGAGACTTCACAACTCCTCTGCTCATGCTTTGGCCATGCTCTGTCACCCTCACAGTGAAAAAATGTTTCTTTCCTGACTTTACAGTCAAACTTTAAAAAGAAAGGACCAAGGAATGGCTTGGGTTGGAAGGGACTATAAAGATATCTAGTTCTACCCCCCCTGCCATGGGCAGGGACACCTCCCAGTAGCCCAGGTTGCTCCAAGCCCCATCCAACCTGGCCTTGGACACTTCCAGGGATGGGGCAGCCACAACTTCTCTGGGCATCCTGTGCCAGGGCCTCCCCACCCTCCCAGGGAAGAATTTCTTCCTGATATTCAGTCTAAATCTACTCTCCTTCAGTTTGAAGCCATTCCCTCTTGTCCTAATCCCTGTTGGCTGCCCAGACACTCTGTGATGCTCAGCTTTGGGGATGGGAGGGGGCTGAGATTTCTCCTGCTGTTCTTTCACACCAAGTTTGTCATTTTGGGGATGTTGGTGTGCAGTGAGACCTGTGTGTGATTGAAGGTCTCTGTGGGGACACCAGGAGCATGTTCATACTGGTTTCATCAGAGATGGGATTTATTCTGCACCCCAGTTAGTGACAAGGGCTTTAAACTGAAGTTGTTGGAGGAGGGGAACCTCAATCCATCCCACTCCTGCCAGTGCCAGCAGTACTTGCCCAGAGCATGGAGGGGCATTGCAGGTCATCAGGAGAACCCCTGTTGAGCAGCACAAAGGAGTTCCAGTAATTGACTTAATCAGGGGCCCATCTTGAATTCCTCTTCATGGCTGCCCAGAGAATCTGAGGCTGCCCCATCCCTGGAAGTGTTCAAGGCCAGGTTGGACAGGGCTTGGAGCAACCTGGGATAGTGGAAGGTGCCCCTGCCCATGGCAGGGGGGTGGAACAAGATGCTCTTTAAGATCCCTTCCAACCCAAACCATTCCATGATTCTGTGATCTCCCCAGTGATGTCTCCACATGGGACAGGTGCATTTGGATGAGGAAATTCTAGTGCAGACAGTCAATGAAGTTCAGGATGTGATTCAGCTGATTAGGTAAAGGTACCTCACAGAATCATCCTGGACTCCTTTGGTTGGACCTCTGCTGACTAGAAAAGTCACCAAGGGTGCCTGGCTCTGTGCTAGGCTGTTTGGGAGCCTGAATTCCACACATGGTCACTGGAGAAAGAAGTCCTCATCAGGTTATGTGGTTATTTCCAGAAGAGGCACCACACCCCTCCCATTGAACTCATTCCATAGTGGAATTCCATAGGAGATTCCACTTCAGGAGTGCTGTGAATTCCCACCTTGCTGCTGTGTTGTAGAATTTCCCCAAGGAAGCTCAAAGGGAGAATCCAGAGGAAGAAATATCCTGCGCTCCTGGACCTGAGCTTCCAGCAGAAATAATGGTTAGCAAAGGAGCAAGGGACAATTCCCACTCTTTCTACTCCTTCGCCTGAGTGAGCAGGACAAGAGCATCATCTTGCCAGCAAAATGATGCAGCTGCTCCCAGGACCTGACCTGAAACAGAGCACCATCCTTAATTTTTCATGCATTCCCCTGTCAAATGCCATCTGCAGGCAGGTCCTCGGGGAAATGAGCCTTTGTGTAAGTTCGGGAGAAATGGGAAGCAAAACTTGCTCTTTGCAAAGTCTGAGGGGGTTTTTTTGGGTTTTTTTATGCCGTGGGTTATCACCTCCCAGGATGAACTCTGCCAGCAAAAGGAAGAAGCAAACGTGCCTGTCAGGGTTATTTGCCCCGGAGTAATTTCCTTTTCTCTCTTCATTTTCCAGCTGCTGGCTGTCGTTGGAGGGAGGGCTTCTCTATGCCTTCGTGGGACCGGCGGCTGCTGTCGTTTTGGTATTTAAGCTTGGCTGAAAGCTTTTTTTATTTTCCTCTTTGTCTTATGCCACTCTCCTTGTTCTTTCAACCCAAGAATGCCCCCTCTTTATTTCCACTCACAGGAATAAGTGTTAGAAGCCAACAGTTTGGGAAGGGTTTGGTTCTGGGATATAATGTGCCTCAAGCTCTCAGCCTACCACCTCTGTCCTCACTGGTGTTCCCTAACACCTGATTAATGCTTTTCCTTGGTTTTGCCTTGTCTGGATGGAAGTGCAGGATGATGGTGGAAAACTCTGACATGAACTCCTTCAGAAACTGCTGTCCCTGGTTACTCCCAGACCAGGCTGTGCCCTCCCAGCCAGTATTTATTCCTGGTCTGTCCCAGCTGGCCAGTGTATGGGAGCAGCTTCCTTGTTTGCAGATGAATTGGAGATGTTCAAGTCAGTGCTGGGGGGGTTCTTAGTGACCTTAAAAGTGCCATGTTTGCTTTTAATTTGGAAAGGAATGGCAGGGTTAAACATTCCTAAATTCTGTCCCAGCAGCTCCTGCATGGTGGGAGTGTGTCCTACTGTCCCATCACCCTTGGCTCCAACACAGCACCAACACCAACCTTGGCCAGTTATTTGAGTTTAAGGTGCCACTCAAGAGCTGACATTCCTTTCCTCATGTTTCCCTGCTGTGGAAGCCTCTCTGACCATGAGAAATCTTGACTGTCAGGGTTGAAAGACTCTTGAGAATTGCTGGTCCTCCAGGAAATCCCTCCTGCAGCAATTTCAGATGGGTTTAAACCTCCATTTATTTGAGCCCCCCCACATTAAGTGACAGCCTGGTTTCTCTCCAGCTCGGTGTTTTATGCAGTGGAGGAGCTGTGTGTCCTCTGAGGCTCAAGTGTCCCACAGGAATGGGGTTGTTGACACTCACAGTTCCTTTTTTGGGTCAGGCTTTTGTTTCCTGCAGTGCCTGGGGGTTTTAAATGCCCTGAAGCAGGAGCTTACAGGGGAATAACTCCACAAAAGCTCCTGCTGCCTCTATTCTCACTGCTGTCATTGCACATCAAACCACCTTGGTGCCATCCTTTGATCAGGATGACAAAGAGGTGAGCCAGTAGCTGCCCCTCCTCTGTAATAAATCAAAACTAGTTTCAGTTAAGGTCTTCCTTTAGTGTAGGATTGTGACACAGTGATTAGGAGGGAGGGAGCTTTGGTAGTGCCCAGAGAAGAGGGAGTCACTCAGCTGCCTCAAGGCATCTTGCTTTTGTTGTGCCAGCAACAAGGGAAGTAATCCTTCATTTTTCCTTTGCATTTTTAAAGTGTGATTAAAACCCAGGAGCCTCCTTCCCTTTGGCACCTCAGTTTTCACTCACCATCAAGCAGGAAATGGAGATGTCCTTAAAGAAGGGTCAACACATGCAAAGGTGGCCTGTGCAGCTGATATTAGGAAGTGGTGAATCATCTCTGGGGGTGTCTGTCCCTGAGCAGCACCAAGACAGAGCCTACACACCCAGTTTAGACCTCCTGGCTCACTGCTGGCTCAAGTGATGAATGAATACTGCCCAAGTGGGGTAGATACCCAGGAGCCAGGGGAAGGAGAAAGAGAAAAAGAAGCATTTAAAGCCTTTTTATAAATGGGAACCTGCAAACAGATGAGCTCAACTGGCCACTCAGATTCACACTGTGACCTTTAACAGGGCAGAAGTGGAACACACAGCCCACGAGGCTGGACAGCTCTGTGTGTGTGTTCTCCTTGTGCTGTGCCCTGAGTTCAGGTTGGCCATGCTGGTGATGGAAGGACATCCCAGAAGGACCAGAGACAGGATGGCTAGGGCAGCCAGTGCACCTGGCTCAACAGAAGGGCAGTCAGGCTCCTGCAGGGCTGTACAGGGGATGGGCAGCTCTGCTGCTCTCGGGACAGATTTGCTCCAGAGAAACTACAGCTGCTCATGTGAAGCCTTGTACAGATCAGGGTGGGATTTGACTCTGAGCCTGAGCTTTTTCTCACCCAAAATTCAATATATAGATGCCCAAGTGAGTTTGCACAGAGCTGACTTGGCTTGGAGAGAGAGCTGGGACAGCCTCAGCCCTGGCCAGGCTACTCTTGTTCTCACTCCTCCCAAGCCATTCAAGCATCTCTGCACTCAGTTCTCCCACCAGCATGATTTCTCTATTACCTGTGGTAATACACAGCAACCTTCTTCCTCAACACCCTTCCTTATTATTCTCCACACTGGAAAAAGGCTTTTGGCTTGGAGAATATCTTTACTTCAAATTAATACTCTTAAGATGATTGGCCTGCAGCGTCAGCAGTGTTCACAACTTGCAGTCAATCCATTGGCACTGAATGGCTGCAGAGATCTGACCTTTGTTCTTAAAAATCCCAACAACCTGACAGGTAGAGCTGTTGGAAGCAGTTTTGGTCACCCAGCCTGGGGATGATCTGGGGCAGATTGAAGGCAGGGAGAGGCTCATGGTGACAGGACAGAGTCAGCAGTGGCCAGGTTGTGATTGCCTCAAGGAATCTCAGACTTGAGCCTTTGCTTCTGGATATTATCTCAGAGATAAAGAAGTAAAGCTACTCTGCATGTCATAAAGAGTGACTCTGTTTAGAAGTATTATCCCTAACTTAGGAAAACTGGAGCCAGGATCAGAGCAGGGTGTTGATCACAATGATCAGTGTGCTAAATGTTTGTGGCTAAAACGGTAATGTGGCTAAAAATAGCTTTTAATTATTAAAACCATTGCAGAGCTGCTCTTTGTCACCTCCCCTGCTCCATAAGGATGAGGATACACATCTTTCCTAGGGGAGAGATCCAGCCACACTTCAACCCCATCTTTTCCCCCTTAAGGAAAAGTCTCTCTTGCACTCCCCAGCCTCCAGCACAGCGAAGAAGGATCAGTGAATTCCAAGTGCTCCCTCTGTCTCCAAGCACATAACCGGGGTTTGATTTCCTGCTGATCCTTGGCTGCACTGCTGTGTCTGACTTGCCAGTGCTGTTGCTCTATATCAATACCGTGGTGAGCTCTAGAAATGGGCTCACAGCTGTGGGAAGCAGTGCCCTGACCTAGCAGCTGATGCAAACGAAAATAACTGCTATTTCTGAGCTTTTCCATTGATTCCCAGCTGTGGGCTCCACAGCAGCGAGCTGTGTTTTGCCCTGCTCATACCAGCAATCCAAATGCAGGAATTTTGCTCATTCTTCTGAGGCTGCTTTAGGCATTTAGGCAGAGCAGACATCTCCCTGCCTTTGGGGCCAGGTGCTGCACGAGGTGTCCCTCAGCACCACTCCTGTTAAACTCACCTCGGTGCACATGTGATGTTACACATCCCTGAATTTGGCCTGAAAACATTTCCCTGCAAGCCCCACGTGCAAAACAGCATCAACCACGTCGTTCTACAGCACCAGATGTTTCCCTGACAGCAAAACCAGGAGAGTGTCATTTTTTTTCCACCATTTCTTTGCCTCCACGAGGGGAGGTGGTGCTCATGTGTCACTAATGTTTGGATGAGATTTGTGTAGCAGATGCAGCTGGCAGCAGTGGATGCATTTGGAAGGGCACAGTGAGGAGTTTGGGATCACTTTGCAGGACCTCAGCTCTGTGTTTCCCTGTGAATATTTATACCTGGTTGATACAGACATCCACACTCTCACCCTAAAAAAAACGGACCAAAGGACTGCATGGAGTTGTCCTACCCACTGATTTTTTGGGAAATGACTGGATGGCTGACCAATGTGCTGGGCCATCTGCAATTCTTCTTGCTCAGACTTGTAAATCTGAGCAGTTTACAACTTTGTCCTGGTTCCTGGAAATGTGGTTCACGGTTGGACTCGGTGATCTTGGAGATTTTTTCCAACCTTAATGATTCTGTGATTTCAAGACCTCTCTTATCTGGTGCCAGCTGCATTCTGCTCTCCTGAACTCCCTGCTGCATGGCCAGGGGAGGCGGGAAAGGGTGGAGAGGGGACAGAGGGGGTGGTGGCCTGCAGAAGTGTGACCTGATTTGGGGAAAAACGGGAATAACTTCATTTGCCAAATGTTGGGGGGTTTTTTGCCTTCTGTGCTACCAAGTCTGAGCTGAGCCACTTAAGAACAAAACTGTGTGTTGTTTCTCTTTTGACAGGTGAACATGGTTATTGGCATTCTGGTTTTTAACAAACTTGTATCCAAAGATGGAATAACAGATAAGAAACTGAAGGAACGGGCAGGGTATGCCTTATCAATACATCTAAGTAAAGAGTGACAATCAAAACCAAAAACACCCAAGGTTGTGATCAATAACCAGACCAGGAGTGCAAAAAAAAAAAAAAAAGATATTGGAGATGGAAAGAAAAAGCAAAAACAGATTTAAACAAAATGAAAGAAAGAAACCCACACTTGATTTAATCTCTTTGCTGTGTCGTTCAGTGCAGCAGGGACAAAAAAATCCAAGGAGCAGCACTGGGTTACTGTGGAGGAAGGATAAAAGTTCATCTCTTTGTGGAAATGGCTTCAGCCCAGGCTGATGTATCCTCCCAAAAATTAAGGAGAGCAAAGTCGCTGACTCCTGGGAACAGCAGCTGGATCAGAGAGGGACTCACCACTGCTGAGTGGGGCACGTGGCACGGGCTGTGTGACAGAGAAGTCATGTCCAGTGGCTGGCAGGTGGCTGAGGGACAGCAAAGGGATGTGATGCTTTTAAGGGAAGGCTTTTGGAGGCCTAGCAATGAACAGGTCAGGAGATGGGTGCACGTGTAAAGAGGAGGTAAGTTAGGAACCTCTTCTGCAAGGAAAAAAATCTGCTGCCACCTGAGGTCCTTTATCTTCTCCACAGCCTCCACACCAAAGCCTGGGGCTTGTGTTACCTGGGTCTCTTTGTAGTATAAATCCAAGAGCTGCCTCCAGAGTCCTCATCTCCCTGGGAGTTGGCTGGGGCAGGGCTCTCTCATGGGTTCCTTCCAAACTCTGTTGACAGTGGATATTTTGCCATTGTCAGCATTCCTGTCAGGATGGGAATGTTGGTTCCCCTTTCATCTTCTTTTCTAGAAATGAGTTTTTGGCCTGCTCAGACATTATCCCTGAGCTGTGCTTCAGGCCAGGGACAGAAATGGGACAGTGACACTCTGAGTCACATCAAATGCTCAGGTCAGCCTGGCTGATGTGTGTTGTTTGCCACTACCTTACTTGACTTCTTGTTGCAGAGAAACTGTGTCCTTACCTGCAGCCAAGAAAGGCAGGGATGTGTGATCTTCATGTATCCATTGGATTTATCACTGTGTTCTTTATCACTTGTATTCTTGAAGGAAGAAGTTGTTTCCAAAGAGATGAGGAGAACAAGATGTGTTGTGGTGCCTCTTTACCACAGCTACAGACGGAATGTAAAACCTTTGGAGGCTGGAGGAGAAGATAAAGGATATATCCTGCCTATTAAAGTGGAGGGAGAACGGTCTCCATCGAGTCTCAGAGGGTGGCAGCAGATAACACAGATGAGGCTCAATATTCCTGTCATTGCACTGTTGAGTAGTTGTGGTGGAAGTGGTTTTTAATTGACTGGTGGCAGCAAAACTGAGGGTAGAAGCAAACTCTCATCGGCACCTCAAATCCTGTGTTCAGTTTTGGGGCCCTCACTGCAGGAAAGACCTCGAGATGATGGGGCATGTCCAGAGAAGGGCAATGGAGCAGCTGAGGGTTCTGGAGCACAAGTCCTGTGAGGAGCAGATGAGGGAGCTGGGGGTGTTTAGTCTGAAAAAAAGGAGGCTCGAGGGGGACCTTACCACTCTACAACTCCCTGAAAAAAGATTGTGGTGAGGTGGAGGTCGATCTCTTGTCCCAGGTAACAAGTGGCAGGACAAGGGGAAACGGCCCCAAGTTGTGCCAGAGGATATTCAGGTTGGATATTAGGAAAAATTTCTTCACTGAGAGGGTTGTGAATTATTGGAAAAGACTGTCTAGGGAAGTGGTGGAGTCACCATCTCTTGGAGTGCTCAGAAAACAACTGGACGTGGCACTTGGAGTTTTGGTTTAGTGGGAATGGTGGTGGTTGGTTGAAGGTTGGACTTGATGATCTTTGAGGTCTTTTCCAGCTTTTATGATTTCTATAAGGAACACAGGAACCTGTCAAGGTCCTGATTTCTGTGAGAAACACAGAAATCTGCCACGGTCATGGTAATAAAAGGAGACTTAACATGTTTGGATGATCGGAGGTATCAGTTGCCGCTGGGTTAAAAAACATATGAAGAAGTGACCTTGGTGCTTTGCTTTAAGCAGCTGCAAGAAGCAAGTGCTTTATTGTGGGTGATGCCTCCTTCACAAAGAGAGAACTCAAAATGCCCAGACTGCAGGCAGAGCCTGCAGCAAGGTAATTGCACTTGAAAGTCAGCCCTGCAATAAATGCTTTATTGGATTAGCAAAGCAGAGAGTTGCTGTTGCTCTGCCCCTCCCTCCCTAATCCAGACTGCTCACAGAGCGACCTTATTTAATACACAGCAGCTGGTTATTGATCACAGAGTTGTTCTTTAAAAACAAAAGCTGCAAAGCAACAACAACAACAACAACAAAAGTCATTTTTTTCTGATGTTCTTTGTTTTTTCTTTCTTTTCTCTTTTTTCCCCCCTCTTTCGTGTCCGTGTGTGTGTGTGCAGCACTTTTAAGCCTTCTCTGTGCTCAATGGTTTTGTTCTCCTTTCCCAAGTGCACCTGCTGAGAGTGTGGGAGCACTTTTGAGAGCCCTGGTGCCCCTTTTCCCTTAGTTAACTTCGTAGAAGTTATTCTGCTTCTGGCCTGGGCTTGGGAACCGTGTTGGAAGGTAGATCTGAAGAGAATCGGAATGAGCAATGGCCTTGGAGATGTTTGGATCTGAGGAGATGGTACAAAGAAACGTTGTGTTTCCTTTAGCAGAGGCAAGAAGTATGGTTCAGTGTTGCAAAAATGATAATAAAGGGGGAAAAAAACCCGGAATAGGGGAAAATAAAGAGCTGTTGGATACTAAGAAGAGCCCAGCACACACACCACAGATTGGTTGGCACTCAAATACCTCAGAATTAACAGTTCTCTTGAAATAATACCTGAGACACGATAGGTTTTGCCCTGTACTTTGCACAGGAAATTGCTGTGATTAGGGTTGTCACATCTGTCAGAAAACCTTGACTTCCTAATGGCAGCGGCTTCATAGATGAATCACAAAGCCAGGCTGGGGAGAGTTGGGTGGGATTGCCTGGAGAGCTGGAGGAAGGCACACAACTGCCCTACCACCTGTCTAGGAACAGGAGAAAACCATCCAGGCACCTCCCAGCAGAAGGGTCTCTGTTGGTGGCCAAGTGTTTGAGCTCTGCTGATGGGAGTGCCACTAAAACTGGATGTCTTAATGTCAGGAGCCTTTAAAATGAGTTTGAAATTTATTCAGGCAGCGTTTATTCCAGAAGCATTTGTGTGCTAACGCAGCCAGGGAGGAAGAATGAGACTATAGGGTATATTCACCAGGGCTAATTTTAGCCTGCTGAGTTTAATCTCTCTAGGCTTCCTCTGTAACTGCTGGAGAGAGACAAGAGCCTGGTTTAGTTGTTCCAACTTGCCCCTTGGAGGACCTTTACTTCTTTTATCTTCCTGTTGATTATAGAAACGACTCAAGAAAGTTTGCCCCCATCCTTTGTGTGAAGTATTCCCAGTACGACTGTCCTGGTGGGGTGTAACAGAGCTGGGCTGTCAGTGCATAGAGAAGAAAGTAATTGGAGAGATAATAACTCCATTAAAACAGGAAGGGGTTTGGATTGCCCTTCATCTGGGAATGGTTCGTGTTGGAAGCAGCGCTCCTGCTCTTTGGGCTGTGTGTGATGTAAAGCACGGCTCAATGAAAGGGAGCAAAGTCCAGGCTCCAGTGAACACACCAGATGAGTCTGGGAGCTGGTTGTGGATATTTAGGAAGCAGCAAAAGCTGAATTAAATGGATGCCTCATTCCCCGTGATTATTTCATTAGCAGCCCTTTCATACGTGCAGGCGCCAATACAAACCTGCTACGGAAATTCAATATATTAACAACCTCCTGCCCCCAACCAGAACAAATTAGAATGTAAATGTATCCACATCTGTGCCTACTGCTTACAACTTTCTGCATAAGTACACCCAACGCAGCTACAGTTGTGTGTTACAGTTGGTCTTTTGGCCAGTTCTTTGTGGTTCAGTGTCATTCATGTTTTTTCTGGTACAGTTTTCCATCAAATTCCTCAAATCAATCTACTTTTTCTTTTTGCTGCCTATCTCTGCCTCTCTCTGTCTCTCTGCTTATCTGTTCTTTGTGGCTTATAGATTTGGGGATAAGCTGTATTTTTTTATTTTTTTAAGGGTCATGCACTTAATGCCTCTCAAGACCCACTTTACCTTTGATTCAGCCACTGGATTTACAGCATCCTTCCTGGAAGATATTTATCTCTGGACGCAGGAGCTAATTTCCTCTGTGTCTGAAGGCTGAAAATTTCTGTGGGATACCTTAGTCATTGTTTCGGAAGGGAGCAATGGCTTATGTCACTAGTTAATTAAAAGACCAATCAATAGCCACTTTATAGTGGGCCACTGGGCCCACTGACGATGCCGTGTTGGTGTTCATGGGGATGTTTTTTTGCCCTGAGACTGAACATAGAGCCATAAAAGTTAAGAAGTGATCTGTCAAGTGGCCTGATCTCTCTCCTGGGCAGGGCAGGACTGTAAAACCCCTCATGGTTGGGGCAAACGTGACCCCTCACCAGCTGCACCACCCTCAGCCAAGGGTGACACACCCACCGTCCTCTGGCAGTGATTTTGTGCCTTCCCTGATGTCAGGCACTAGAGGGAGGTCTGGGTGATGGTTTGCAGGCTCCTTCCCACTTTTTTAAGCCAGATCTGATGTGGATGCCCACCTGTGCAGATCAGAGAGTGCACACACCTCAGAAATTCTGGGAAGAGTCAGGGCCAGTGCCAAGCTCGTGTAGCTTCCAGGCTCCTGGAGAAGAGCTGGCTTGTCAGCTGGGTGGGTTCACACACATCAGCCCCCAAAAATCATGAATTTACTCCCCTTAGCAGATCCCTGCAGCCCCTTATCCCAGCAACCCACAATGCCCTGGTTGATCCCACACATTAAAAATGGGAGCAACAGGCGAGGAGTAGTCTCAGGGTTCATCCCAAACATGTTTTCATCTGCAAAACAAGATATGAGAGAAGAAATGTCTCAGAAGTATTCAGCCAGTCCAGTTCCTTCCAGGGCAGGTTGGTGGTCTTACAAAACACCCAAGCTCGTGCTTAACTCCCAGGACATAAAGAGTCCCCTTTGCATTGTCCTTCCTCACAGCTGGAGCAGCCAAAGAGTGGCCTCTCTCCTGGTACCATGGGGAGATCCCAACCAGAGAAAATATGTGATTTATTCCTTGCATTGCTGTAGGAGAGAAGATAAGCAGGCACAGTCCCCACAGCCCTACTTCTTGCCTTCTACTGCACAACCCTGCCACCTTTTTTGTTTTGGAGCAAAAAGGCCAGGAGGGAAAAGAGCAATTTCTCAAAAAAACCAAACCAAAACAAAAAAAAAAAAACAAGAAAAAAAAAATAAAACCCAAACGAAAAGAAGGAGGTGGAGACTGGGAGAGCAGTACTGGTTTCTCTTCCCTGGGTGCCAGAGAGAGACACCCTGAAACTGGGCAAACATAAACCAACACAGTTCCACCCTCTCCAGCGGCACCAACAGTCTCTGAATTGCACATTTCCCCCTCCCATTTCCCGCATCTGGATTGGTACAGATGAGAGAGTTTTATTCCTGCCTGTCTTTCATTTCTCTTCCCGAACTGGGTATGGTTGGTTGGTTCCCTGTTTCTCCTTCCTTCCTTCCTCTCTTCCTTTTGGCTTCTCTGTTTCCCTTTCCTTTCTACGTTTGTGCTCATGAGCAAAGTGTTTTGTTTTGTTTCAGTCTTTTGGTTTTAATTGCAGTCAGATGGCAGTGCCCCTTTACGGGATGACGCTCAAATGTTCCAAGTGTGGAGTAGTTTCTTCTGCTGAAGTTTCGGCCACAGCCACCAGTAACGCCATGTTAGTTCCTCTAATTTCAACTTCTTTTCTTTCTTTCTTTCCACTTTCTTTTTTTTTTTTCCTTCTTTTAATTGATTTTTTTTTTTTGCTTTTAGTTTGTTTTATTTCCCTCTTCCATTTCCCTGCACTCACCAGCCCTTGTTTGTTTTCTCTCTCCCGGTGTCCCTGCCCACCCTCCCCACATTTCCCAGCTCTCCCTGACCTCATTCTGTGGGCCATGAGTAGTGTAGGGCTCCTCCTGCAACATCCCTGGAGCTGATGGGCTGGATCCTGAAAAGCCCTTTATGACATGCTTAGATTTAAGCATGTGAGCAGCCCATGGAAGACAAAAGGACTCTGTATTTATTGCAAACCGTGTATATGTTTAATTCTTCCACTGAATTTAGTTGCAGAATTAAAGATGTGATTCCCAGTAATCTTAGGGCTAGACAGGGACCTCAAAATCCAGCTCTGTCAACCACTTAAGCATCTTCATGAATGTTTTACTCCAGAGGCTGCAGAGCATTGAGAATGGTTTAAGTTGGTGAATCACTTCTAAATGTTGGGGTTTTTTGCTCTTATAAAATGCTCAAGTTCAGTTTGATACCTCATAGGGCTGCGGGTCTGATTTGATAAGTGTTGACTGCCTCTTTTGGACCCCTAAAAGCAGTTGGAATTAATTCTCAAACTCTTAAAGCGTTTCATAGCTCTGAGTTACAAAAGTCAAAAGCTGTTAAATCTCTTCTTAGATGCCCCTGGAGTTAGTTTAAAAAGGAAAAAAAAAAAAAAAAAAAGGAAAAGAATGCCAGAGCTTTGTTCTGCTGGAGAAATTGTTGCTATTTATATAGTTGGCTTTTTTCCCAAAGGTTAAGGTTGGAGGGAGAGTGATGAGGGAAGGTTTGTCTTTTTTCCTTCCCTTTTGGAAATTGCATTATCTGCATCATATCCAAGTGATGCTGTTACTTTGATTTCTGTGTCTAAAATAATGTATATAAAATGTGTGAAAGAAACTGTCTTAGATCACTTGCAGCTTGGAAACTCCTACTTTTAATTAATCTAAAAAGGAGGCAGCTGAGTGTCAAATCTCAAAATGCAGAAAAAGAAAAGAAAATCAAAGCACAAGAGCAACCTGGTCCAGTGGGAGGTGTCCTGCCCATGGCAGGGGATTGGGATAAGATGATCCTTAAGGTCTCTTCCAACCCACACCATTCTATGACTCTGTGGTTTTCTCTGTGAAATGAAAAACTAAACAAAATCTCGTTTATTTTTCGTTGCTAAAGTCATTTACTCACCTTTTGCAACAGTGCCCAGCTGAGATGGGGAGATGGAATTGGTCCAGGCACGTGTACCATGAGTCTGGAATTAGCAGGTCACTGAATTTTGGATTCCTGAGACTGCAGAGGAGCTAAAACAGCAGATTTACTATTAATGAATTAGACTGTTAAATAGGAGAGGCTTTCTGTTCATAGTAAATTCATTTTAAAAGTTAAACAGTCTCAAATCCTTCTCCTGCACTGTCTGACATCAGTCTGTGATAAATCACATATTCTGATTCATCTCCAAATCAGACAAAAAAAAAAAGGGGGATATGAAAGCCAGATCTCCTGTTCATCCTGCTTTTCTAATTTAAGTGGATGGATAGAAATTGGGAGGCTCTTGAGAGAGGACATGTCTTTTGTTTCCCAGCAGGTAAATACCTCAGATGAAAGATTTCACTACTAGTTTTGTGTTCTGTCCTCAAGTGTTCCATGCTCTTGTCCTTGCAAAAGGACCACTGAGCAATCTCTGGATTAGTCCCCTCAGCCTCATCTCCCTTTGTCATCCACTTCATTCTGCAGCTGAACTGTTGCTGTTTTTCCTCCCCCAAATCTATTGTTTGTCAAAAAGGCAAAGCCCTGATGATGCTTCGTGCCACTGCCACCATTCTGCTGCCCTTCATCCTTCCAGACCTTGGAGAGGCTTTGTCATTCCCTTTTGGAGTCTTGTCATGTGAATCATATGCCAGGAGAATTCCTGGCTCCTCCTTGACCTGGAATGAGCCGTAGTTGTTTGGTAGGGAACTTATCAAGGATGTTCCTGCCTTGTTCCTGCTGGGGTTGCTCATTCCCTCTCCAGTTTACCTCCCGTAGCTTCCAGAGGCTCGTTCTGGGAGAGCATGGCATGAAAAATAGATGTTTTTGCCCGTTTTTTCTTGGCAACTGATGGGAGAGCAGAAGGGAAAAAAAAATTTGCACTGGCAACTGTGCAGTGTCTTGACTTGGGGAATGATAAAAAGGGAATGATGAAAAGGTGACAGAAGTGAAAAAATCTTCACTGGAAATTGTGCAATTTCTTGACTTGGGGAATGAAACAGGAAATTTTGAATGTCTCTGACTTGTTAAGGATTAGCCAGATTTGACAGGTGTAAGTTAAAAACACCTTTCCCTTTAGGTTGTGCTGAAGGAGACACTGGTCAGATTTTGCCATTGGAAGACCTCTGTTCCCACATTTCCTTCTGGTCATTGTTACTTGTAGGGTTCCCCTCAGCCTGTGAAATATTAACTTATAATTAATTTGTCTTTGTTACCTGTGAAAGATATTTTATCTGAGGTGGAAAACATATGGCAGAGTCATGGCATGTCTTGGTATTTACTGTGAATGAGGAGATCCACTGCAGAAGACAGGGACTGCTGATGGATGGGTGAGTGGATGGATGGATGGATTGATGGAAGTTGTTGATGTCCTATCCCTGGAAGTGTTCAAGGCCAGGTTGGATGGGGCTCTGAACAATCTGGGATAGTGGAAGGTGTCCCTGCCCATAGCAGGGCTTTGGAATGAGATGATCTTTAAGGTCCCTTCCAACCCAAACCATTCCATAATTCTGTGAAATGTCTGGACTCTCAAATTCTGACCACAGGGAAGAGACTGGCACAAAACTAAGGCCCTGGTACAGTGTATTCTTCTTGCAGGCAACCCACCCAGGAGTCAACGTCAGAGAGTCCTCATGACCCTTCTCATCATCATCCCTCTTAAATCATTAGAAATTCCTGTGTCAAATCTCCCATCTAAAGTATTTGCCCTTTTTCTTGGCTCAAAATCATTTCAGGGCATCTTAGATATCAAGTTTTCCACCTGTATTGTAATTCCAGCACCAGTGTGAGTCAGCATTTCCATGCCTGGCTGGTTTTATGAAGGAGACTGTTCCTCAGGAGAGTGTTGTCCTCATGGTTCAAGGAGTTTGAAATCCCCCCTTACCTGGGGATAATACCCAAGTCCTGCAGGTCCTTGCTGGGAGTGTCAGAGAACACCTTCCCTAATTAGGGAATAATCCAGTGAATAATCAAGCAGTTTGTCCACAGCTGCCTCATCACCTCCCTGTCTCATTTATCACAGATTCATCATGGAATGGTTTGGGTTGGAAAGGACCTCAAGAGTCATCTCATTCCAACCCCCCTGCTGTGGGCAGGGACACCTTCCACTGGACCAGGTTGCTCAGGGAAGTTCAGAGGAATTTAATTTCTTGTTCTCCTGGTTCTGTGATTTATACTGCAGCAACTGAGAGAAGAATCATCTTTTGGGGAAAATAGAAATCACATCAGGTGTGGAGAAATCCCATTCTGTGTTGCCTGGGCATGAGAAGAACATGCAGAGTGCTCCCTCTTTTCTAGTTCCAGGTTTCTTGTCTTGGTTTTGTGGGCATTGAGTTAAAGGGAGGTTCTCTGAAAGTGTCCCTAAAATTGGGACAACACTCTTGCTTTTAGGAGGAATAGTGTTTAAGTGCTTAAAAAGTGTTCAAAGCCAGGTTGGATGGAGCTCTGAGCAACCTGGTCCAGTGGAAGGTGTCCCTGCTCATGGCAGGGGGTTGGAACGAGATGATCTTTAAGGTCCCTTCCAATCCAAGCCATTCCACGGTTCTGTGATTCTGTGAATCCAAGTTAGAGGAGTGATAAAGCACGAGAAAATAAATAAAATACATCCCTGCACTGTGATTTGCCTGCAGCAGAACTGCTGGCATGTGAAGAACCATCCATTATGCTGAGTCCACCGACCTTCTCCCTTTCCAGAGCTCCTTCTGGGAGCTGTTTCTGAATTATAAAGTGATTTTTTCCTTCTGCTGCTTCTTTAACTTACATCACTGCTGCTCTGTCAGTGTTGAGTAATGAGAAGAATTGATCCCTTCCCTCTTTATAATGGCCCTTCACATCTCTATTAGCATGTCCTGTATTTCCCCCTGCACTTGCCTTTTCTCAGGGTGCAGCGCTCTTCATCTTTCTTCATGTAGATCTTTGTCTCCAAAACCATTTATTTGCTCTTTCCATTGCTCTCCTCTATGTGCCATCACTTCATTCTGCTTCCTTTGCAAAGATGAAGACTCTGAAGGCTGCCAGCTTGTGCTAAAGGACAAAACCAGAGCCAGTTTTTGTCATTTTGGCCAAAGGCTTCATCTGCTTGTGGTCAGAGCTGGGTCTGCTGTGTGCTTTCATAAGGCTTAGTGGTAGAACTTGTTTCCCATGGTAGAACATCCCATGTGCTAGAGAACAGGAGCAGCTGAGGGAGCTGGGATTGTTTAGCCTGGAGGAAAGGAGGAGCTGGAGGATCTTATCTGCAACTACCTGAAAGGAGGTTGTAGCCAGGTGGGGGTCTGTCTCTTCTCTTCAGTAACAAGTGATAGAACAAGAGCAAATGGCCTCAGGTTGTGCCAGGTTTAGGTTGGATATTAGGGACAATTTCTTCACCACAAGGGTTATCAAGCAGTGGAACAGGCTGCCCAAGGCTTCATCATCTCTAGAGGGGTTTAAAAGCTGTGTAGTTGTGGCACTTGGGGACATTTTTTAGTGGTGGCCTTGCCAGTGCTGGGTTAATGACTGGACTCCATGATCTCAGAGGTCTTTCCCAACATAAATGGTTCAGGGATAAAGCTGTGGACAATCCTAGAGTGTGGCCATGCTGTCACACATCCTTGTAATTATATCTTGGGAGGAACAACGTGACACTACAACTGCACTGCTGAGTAACACTGGCATGGCAGGGTCACCTCACCATAAACCATTGTCCTCCTTCCAGAATGAAGGATCTTCCCTGTCCCCCATCCTGAGTGCTGTCATGGATGGCACAAATAAGAGGATGTGCCAGCTGATTCCTTTGTCTCAAGCCATACAAATCCTGGATCTGTTGATTGTAGCTAATCCATGATGGAAAGCCATTAGGTAATCACAGTGTCGTTATAGAACGTCAGCATTTCATATCACATCACGGAACTTGACATTTCTTAAGTCCTGTGAGTTATTCTGGAAGTTTTTAAGGATGCTCCTAAAACAGGGACAGGTGGAAAGGTGGCAGAAGTGTGGGGTCAGCTGTGAATTCAGCTCACAGCAAATAGAATTAGGGGCAATCTCACAGAAAACCCTCTTACCTTCCCTTGAGTTTTCTTCTGAAATTTTCAGTCTTTATAGGATTGTTTTTATGGAGGGTTTGGGTTTGTTTGTTTTTTTTTTTTGATGTTAATCTTTCATAAATCTAAGCAGAGTTCTGCCAGTGAAATTAGAGTGAGTTCCATTCCTGTGACCTGTTGCCACCTGCTGCCTGAGAATAAAGATTATGCATTAGGTGTCAAGCAGCATTTCCATAACATTCGTGAGGGATGAATGTTGCTGAGAAGGTGAATCACAAAGGGAGCAGAAAGGCCATACTCTTAGCTCATGTAAATCAGCACAACTCAGGAAAATCCTGATTTACTCCAGCTGAATATGTGGTGTAATATTGTTTTCATCATCTGAGCTGGAAGGGCAGATGAGTTTTCCATCATCTGGTTGGAAAAGCAGAGGTTTATGTGATGATTGCTCGTGTTGGCAGCAGTAGTGAAGTCCATCAGGATATCTTGACTCAGAGGGAAGTGGAATAATTTTCCCATATGGAGGCACATGGATCAAGGGGCTGGAAGGACTCGCTGAGTGCATGTGAAGGCAGCAGGAGCTCTGAAGGGAGAGTTCTAGATCACTGCATCCATGCTCTGGATAGCAAATGGACTCAAGCGGTTCTCCTTAAAGCAAGTTTTGAAGCCAGTGGATTCAAATTAAACCATTTGCTGAAGAGAAACATAAATTATATATAATTCACCTCTCCAGCAGCATCCCTTACAACCCCAAATCCACATCTAAATCTTGGATCCAGACTCAAATCATTGCCAGTGTGAGTTTGCAGGTCTTTCCAGGAATGGAAAACCCTCCCAAGCTCAGATGACCTGCATTCCCAGGTCAGATCCCTTCTCAGATGTGGTTGCCAGGTTTCTTGTTTGCACACTGGGGGTGGCAACATCCACATATGTGTGTACTAAGAGTGTTCTGGAAGATCAGAGGATTCCAGGAAGGAAAGTTGTCTGGTACAGACCTTTCCTAGCAGTTTTTATTGATTTTGATGGTTTCCCCTTGCTGCTGGAATTGCTTCATCTACCCAGCCATGCTCTGGGAATGTTGTGTTTGCTGATTCTTGCATGGAAGACACATCTAGAGAGGTGCCTTATGGATCAAACCTTATCTTTCCTTTTGACTTTTCTGCCCCTCTGAGATGTTTTTTTTCCTCCACCTACTACTCAGCCAGATTAATAATGCCCCACCACAAATAATAGCAAAGGGAGATTTCAGTGTAATGGGGCAAATTCCAGAGGGCTGAGGGAGAAATGGAATAAGAAACTTCTGTTTGGGAGTTGTTGGGTTAAGGGCTGTCTGACTGCTGGGGTTTTTTTTGAAATAATACTTTGAAGTGATAGTTCATATTGGACATTAAACAACAATGTTTTTCATTCTATATAAAATTACAAGATATCAGATTATGTCATGGTCTTTACCCTACATGGGGCCTCATAATGCTTGTTCTAGTTTAAAAAAAAATTATTAATTCCATTTCCCTGCTCCCTTAGGTAAATTCTATTCCTTAATAATACTACTGAGGAACACATCTGAGTCTGGAGAGGTTGTAGAGATATTGCATTTAGGGTATCATTCTGACTATGAAAATAAACTGTCACTTCAGTGTGTGGTCACTACAGCAGAACTGATGTAACAACCCTTGAAAAACCCTTAATGAAGCCAGGGGGTTATATCCTGATGTCCATCCCTGTATCCAAGCTCCAGCTTTGTCCAGGTAAAACTCTCACTGAGCTCTGTGAGAGCAGTACCTGCATAACCAGCAAGTAAACATTAAAAACTTGCTCATAGATCAGAGAATGGTAAGCAAGTCCCATGTAAGTACTGCAAAAACGTGTCCTGGTATCTGTCCTGTAATTTATTGTGTTGCCTGTATTTGTTTGTTAGTGTTTAGGTTGAGGTTTGCTTGAAACTCAACTTTTTATACAGCCTGTGCCCAGGTCTGCTGTGGTTTGTTGGGGAAAACCCCACAGAGAAATTCTCCTTGGTGCACCAGGATGACTGACAGCTTAAAATCTCCCCAGTAGGCTGCTAAAATTGCTTGGGACCCCATTTGCTCAGGTTGCTGAATGCCCAAATAGTCCATGGGAGCAGAGCTGCTTTCTCATCTCAATGGCCATCATTTATAGATTCGTGGGGCAGCACTTGCATTACAGAAAACTGCTTTGTCCAGTTTAGTAACTTGTGAATTAAAATGTGGCTTGAATCTCAAGTTATTTTAACCCAGGATGTCCACTCATGAATAAACTTATTTACAGGAATTGCTGAATATAGGAAAAAATTTGTTTTGGGCAGATTACAGCAGAAAGCAGAAATTTTTCTGTCCACAGGAAAACTGGGTCAGGACTCAGTTCTCCTGGTGTTCATGGATGCAGTGTCATAGGGACCATCAGCTGTGGAGTAAAGGAACACCAGCAAAATGTGTCAGTCTCCACATCAGCTCTGAGCTTGTCTGTTCTAGTCACTCCAAACTGTGACACATGTCCCAGTGTTGGTGTCTTCCATGTGCTGTGGAAGTCCAAGTGTGTGTGACCCAAGTACCGACAGCCATTGTGACAGACCAGTCTCTGCTGCAACTGTCCCCCTTCCCTTTGGCGACCTCCAGTGACTGTATTTTGTCTCCCTTTCCTCGGGGAACATTGTGGATTAGTGGCAGAGTGGGAAGGGTGTGAAAGGGGGAGTGAGGTATCCTCATCCTTCCTCCCCACCTCCAGTTTTCTGCATGTTTGCACCATTGGAAAGTTGTCCCTCCCGCAGCAACGCGTCACCTGTTTTGGCAGAGTGAGTGTGCAAAGCATCCTCCTGCTTCCCTGAGAGAGGGGCTCAGAAAACATCCAACATCCAGCACAAGTAGATGTTTGCTGGAGGAGTTTTCTGCAGCCCCATGGGATCAGGAGGCTGGATTAACATCCCCCGTGGGAACGGGTGAGGCTAAAGCTGAGTCCTCTTTTCCTCTGCTTTGACAGGGCATCCCTTTGGAGCTCCTGCGTGGTCCTGCCTCTCCTGGCCCTCACCTGGATGTCTGCAGTCCTGGCAATCACAGACAGACGCTCAGCCCTCTTCCAGATCCTCTTTGCTGTCTTTGACTCCTTGGAGGGCTTTGTCATCGTTATGGTCCATTGCATCCTGCGGCGGGAGGTGAGACAAAGGAGTCCTTCTCTTTTATATCATCAACACATTTCCCGTAAAAATCACCTGGAAAATGTCCAACCAGCCTGGGAACTTCTCTAACCCTGCAAACTTTTGATTTTGTGTGGATGGTGACCACAAAAATGACCATGACAGTGTCGGTCAGAGGAAAGGAGGGATGAATCAGTTGTCATGCTGCATGTCCTACAGAGTGGAATTTGGTGGGCACCCTTAAGTTGGATAACATGCCTGGCTTAGATGGATAACATGTCAAACTTGACTTGTTTAACACCAAAATTCATGTTTCCAGCATGTTTCTACCACAACTCTAAAAATACAATGTTAAAAAAGTAATTTGCGATTTCAAGAGAGCCAAGTTGCCCTGAGATTTACAGAATGAAAGGTGTGTTGGCATGAACACCCTGATATTCCAGCTGGAAAGTAAAGCCAGCAATAATCAAGCAAGGAAATTGGGGGAATTCTCTGCGGCCTCCCTGTGGAGATTTAAAATGGTTAATTTATATCAGGGAAGAAAAGGACAAATCTTTTCTGTTTCTTTTATTCTTTTCATCCTACTGAGTGCAAAGACTATTAATAACAGAGACAGGAAGGGGCTTTTTTTTTTCAATATTCATTTCATCTTCTTACAGCTCCTTTAAATTAAGTAAAACAGATTAATTCCTTATGTCAGGCCAATGAAATCAATGGGATTACACCACTGGCTTGGCTGAGACTCCTTCCATTAATTGCATTATGAATATGAGCCTGCATTGAACTCCCATTGCAGTCACTGGGATTGTTTTTTCCATTGATTTCAGTGAGTTTTGGACCAGATATTTATCAGAGGATCATAATCAAACTTTGTAGACCCCACTATCATGATTTATGCAATAGCATCCATTGTAAAGATACTGCAAGCTGCCAAATGGAAGGCATTTTTAGTCTTGATTATATAAATCAAGCAACTTGAAGCAGTGACCAGGACAGCTGGAAAACCTTGGAGTTACTCTTTAGTAGTGAAATATGGAACATATAAACCATGTGAAATAAATACCTGGATGCTGCTAAATCCACCTTCTTTTATCTACCAAAGACTGGTTGTTTTTTTTTTTTTCTTCAGCAGAATTTAATATGTTTGGTCTGTCTGACTCTGCCTTTTGCCAATCCCTGTGTTCCTGCAGGTCCAGGATGCTGTGAAGTGCCGAGTTGTGGATCGTCAGGAAGAGGGAAATGGAGACTCAGGGGGGTCGTTTCAGAACGGACACGCTCAGCTCATGGTAGGGAAAAGCACCACCTGGGCTGCTCTTGAGGGACCTCTGGGCATTTTTAATTCATAACTGATAAACAGAGGGCTCTGTCCATCGGAGAGTTTTCAGTCAGTGTTCTTTTTTGCCTTTAAACTTGTGCTTGAGCAAACTTAGCTCTTAGAATAGACCCTTTCACACAAATCTGATTGTGGGTTTTTTTTAAATTGTGGTATCAAGGGATTTAAACTTACACACCTGCATTTGCAGACATCTTGGTGAGATCCTCTCTTTCCCAGGAAATAAAAAGCCAAAATAACACCTCCCAGGTCTTCCAGACCTTCTCATCCCCATCACGCTGCCTTGTCCTCGCTGCACTAAGTTTAATACTGTTTTAATCACTGTGTGTTGGGTTATTATGATAAAGATGCTGTCTCAGAGGGATTGGTTTCTCTCCAAAGCACACTTTGCTTCCTTGGGAATGTAATTTAAGCTCTGTAAATCCCGGTCCTGTTGTGTAAGTCTTTTACAAACAGTGTGGATAAGGCCACAGAGGAATAAGCTGTGGGGCTTCATCTTGAGTCTGCCTCACTGTTAAGAGGTAGTTGATATAAGAAACATTTCTTTTCTGAAGTTAAGGTAAAGACATCAGGAGAATCACAGGATTTGAACAAGTTCCAAAATCATCTCGTTAATATTAGAACTCCATCACAACCCAGTGATGGTTTTTTTTCCCCTCGCTCCTGTGCTAAGCAAAGTAGTTTGTGCTTGGGTACAGCAAAGTCTGATTTCAAACAGCACAATTGTGGAGTCAGGACATCAAAAGATGTTCAATTCCACCACACCTCGGTGGTGTTTGTTAAAACATTTCTCATTTCTCCTTTCAGTGCATAATCTCCTTGTTTTCAGACAGGTTCTCTCTCTGCCTAATTTGTGTGTCATTAGAAAGCCCCTCGTGTGCCTGCTGCTTTGGCTTCTTCAATAATACACACCATCGTCATATCCACTCTCAATCTTCTTTTCAATAAGTTATCACCCTGAGCTTTTTTTATTCTCCCTCTGTAAAAATGTGCCTTCAAATTATTTATAGAACCCTTTCCCACCCACCCTTCACGTTCCCAGCACCCTTGGAAGATGTAGATGCTCTATTTATTATTTTCTTGTCACTACCCCAAGTTTCAGATTTTTATATCTCTGTATAATTCCCTGTTTTCATTCATTCAGTCATTGCAAAATTCTGTGTCAGCCACAAGTTTTGCAGCAATATTATATTCTGCACTGGATGTTTTGAGGAGCTGAGAGCTCACAGTCACTTTTTCATATCCAGGCACAAAAAACTCTGGGATCTCGAAGTGAGTGATGACTCCTCTGATATTTTTAGAGGGGTACAATGTTATTTTACAGTGACTGAGTTGTAAAATAACCAAAGAAATCAAAAGCTTTGCAGGGTGGCAGTTTTACTGTTACCTTTTCCAGTAATCTCCGAATCTGCCCAAGTGGTGAAAAGGAGTTTAGCTGAGTAGAACTGTTTTCCACAAAATCTTGTTGACTGGAATTAAATATAAACCTATCTTTTATTTATTTATCAGCAAAACTAGTACAGGCTGTTCAGCTGCGGTTTTTTTCGGGAACTCCTATAGGAAAATGAGATTATATTTTTCTGTGTCAACATTTAAATGTTAGTTCAGTCATATTTCTCTTCTGTTCTTTTCAGATTTCTTTGCTATCCCAAATAATTTACCAAGGAATTAGCATCAAGAAGGTTGAGATATTTCCTCAACCAGCTTTTCAAACGTTCCTGGATCTCAACTTGCAAATATTAAATTGTTTATCCCAGGGGGGTGGGGAGATTTTCCCCATACTTTTCTTAGTATTCAACTTTAATCACATTAATACAATTATATGAAGTATCTTTCTGAAATTATACTAGAAATAGTCAGTGAACTCTCTGCCTTTTTCTAGTCTGCAGCTCTTCTATTGCTCCATGAAAACCCATGGCCTGCTGTGACTTAGTTTATCCAGTTCTTTGAAATGTTATCTGCCAAAAGCTTTAGAGAAAGAGTTTCACTCCTACTGGGAGAAGAAAGGAGTGTGGTTGGGCTGTACAGACCACTTGAAAAAGTTCCTCAGCCTTTGTGCCTGCAGGAACCTTTGGTTTTTTATGTTAAGAGTTTCAGAGGAAGAGACTTGTTTCCACTTGGTGTGACTTGGTGACAGATCACAGGAAAGCCCAGTGGGGATGGAGCTTTCTCAGCAGCAACCCCAGATCTCTTTAATGAGTGGAGGGGAATCCACTTAAACTGTGCGTGGAGTGATGTATCCAAGACAGTTCTGGCCAGGGACCTGTTCCCTGGTTTTTTTTAGAAATGTGTCTGAACGTATTCCAGGGAGATATTTTAACCTGCAGCTCAGAAATCAGTGAATGAATGAGCAGATGAACCCAGCTGAAAAAAAAATTACAACTTTATCCGTGCTTGAAGTTCAAAAGCCACAGGTGAATAAAAGTGGTGTGTTGTCCGTGTTTCAAAGCCCAAACAAAACATTTTTCCTCCGCTGTTCTGGCAGTGGTTGTGTCCCCCTCACTAATTTAGGTGGGGTTTTGCATTTTCCCAATGGATTTCCTTCCTCCCCCACCTCCTTTTGACCACGTCCTCTGTGTTCTCTGTCTTTCAGACCGATTTTGAGAAGGATGTGGACATGGCTTGTAGATCAGGTGAGCACATCACAGGTGAGAATCAGCAAGTGACCTGGTTTGGGGATTGAACTAGGCCATTTTTTTTTCCCTTTCTGTTTTCTCTGTGTGTGTCTTGGTGCCTTGCATGTCTGGGTTGTTTGCCCTCACTCTCAACCCTGGTCAAGAGAAAGCAACACCCCTAATTTTCCCTTTGCTTATCCTATTTTCCTGCAGCTCTTTTGGCCCTTTTAACTCAGATTAAGCACTGTCTCCAAGGTGTTATTTTTTTGACATGTAACCCAGTGGCAGAGAAGAGTATCAAGGAAGAAGAGCTGGGATCCATCTCTTCCTACTGTGATCCTTCTTTGCTCTAGCAACCCCTTCCCGAGGGGATCCCACCAACCTCAGACAGCTCTGTGCTCAGGAAAGGCGTCTTTGAGAAGATCTGGAATCTGGAGAGCCTTCCCAACACTCCACCTGGCTCCAAGCACTTCTAGTGCAGTTGGACACTGCCTGAGCATGTGGAAGTTGGTCAGGTCTTTCCTTCTCTGCCTGCACCTTTCTGCTGTGCATTCATTTTGATCCTGAAGATGTGCATGAGTTGACAGCCCCTTTCCCAATAACCCTGGGAAGTGTCTGTGCTTTCTGGATTCTCCTTTGCCACCTGTTCACCTCTGCAGGTTTTGTCCTGTCCTGGTCCTGGCATGCCTGACCTCATGCCTGACAGAATCTTACCCTTTGTAGATATTTAGCCTTTCATTTACCCTCCCAGACTTCCCCAACTCCCAAGCAAGAGAAATTCCAGCTTGCTTGGCACTTGCATATCATTCATATCCTCCAAACCAGGATCTTCCCAAGTCAAGGACAATACACTGTGTTCAGCTACCACCATGGGAAAGCTACTTTTTCTCAATCTCTCTCTCTGTCTCTTTGATAATTCATCCTTCCTCCCTCCCTCCCTCCTTCCTCTCTTCCTTTCTCTCTTCCTTCATTCCCTCCTTCCTCTCTTCCTTCCTCTCTTCCTTCATTCCTTCCTTCCTCTCTTCCTTCTTCTCGTCTTTCTTCTTTCCTTCATTGCCTCTGTTCCTTCCTTTCTTCCTTCCTCCCTCCCTTCTTCCCTCCCTTCCTCTATTCCTCTCTTCCTTCATTGCCTCCTTCCTCTCTTCCTTCCTCTCTTCCTTCCTCTTTCTTCCTTCCTTCCTCTCTTCCTTCATTCCCTCCTCCCTCCCTCCCTTCCTTCCTTCCTCCCTCCCTCCTCCCTCTCTTCCTCCCTTCCCTTCCTTTTCTCTCTCCTCCTCCCTCTCTCTCTAAACATCTACCTGTCCTTTTCATTTATCTTATTCTTTATCTCATCTATCATTTATTTCTCTGCTTCTAATGTATTTATCTATAATTCATCACTTTCATTCTATCTTGAAATCACTTCTCTATCTCTGTCCTCAGCTGTCTGTCTTGCTGTACCTGTTATTTATATATTTCTATCTTTGTCAACATTTATCCCTGCCATGGTGTTTCTGTGCATTGTCTGTCACTGTCACTATCATTTATCTGTCTAATATCTATCTATATCTTATTTATCTTTTCCTGTCCTTCTCTCTTCCTCACTCCCACTCCCCGTGCTTATCACAGTCACAGTATATTTATCTCACTTATCCTTGTGATATCTTATTTCATGGTCTCTTTCTGTCCATTTATCTCTTTTCAGGGTCTGTCCATTTTTTTTTTCTTCCTGTTTCTCCGTCTCACACTCTCTAACCTCATTTCTAGCTGTCTGCCTCTTCTCATTTGTCTTCCTCCTTCTCTTTTGACACCAAATGCTGAGTTCCAAAAAAAAAATCACATGTGAAAAACGTGTGTGAGACCTTGCCTGACTTGAAGGGATGCTCCAGGATGATCCAGGCTGGGTGTTGGCATACACAGCCAGCTGTAAACCACAGCAATCCCTGGACCTCCTGCACTAAAGGAGCCTTTCTGGATCTCCTACCATATTTTTTGCTTCCCAGAGGAAAGGAAGGAGTTGATTTTTTTCACATGACTTCAGAGCAGGAGACCCTGGAACAACCCCCAAGCTTCCCTTCCTTTGCCAGCACAGAACTTTACAATTTGAGGGTTGGTGTCTGCCTGGAGAGATTTTCCTCCTCTCATAAAGTGCTGTTAGTTAATAATAATAATCCCCACTTCAGAGACCCTTCTGTATGGTGCCTTGAATAATAAAAAATGGCAGTCTGTCCATTGGTTTCTGGCCACTCTTTCTCCTGGAGGCACCATCTCTCATGTTATGATGGGTTGGGGATGTGGCTGATCCCTCTCATAACCCCCTCACGTAGATCCCCCGGTAGGGTTTGGTCCATGGCTTGGTGTCCAAAGCTCACCCCACTCCAGGCTTGGAGATTGCCAAGTGGAAAGCTCTCCAGACATGCTTTTTGCAGCTCATGGGAGCATGGAGGGGAGCCTGAATCAATGAACCTTGGTGACACTCCTAAGGGAAGGATTTGACTTGCTGTGATTTATCCTCTGGCAGTGTCAAGGTGGTTGTGGTTGCCCTGGTTATACTCGATGTGTTTGGCTTTAAAAGCTCTTGGAAAGTTCTTTTTATCCTCCTTGGTGCCCTTGTCATCCTACTTTGCCTGCTTTTGGAGGGGAGCTTTGATCTCCCAGCACCCCTCACTCCCACTAGGAGCTGGTAGGAAAAATCAGTGTGTCCTCAGTCCCGTGGGATACCTGAGTCATGTCCCGCCTCTGTCCCAGTTGGAGCAGCTCAGTAGTGTCAGGTTCCCACAAAGATCCTTCTCCCTGTCCCAAAAAAGATCTTTTTACCTATTTTTTATTTCCTACTCAGCCAGGGGAATGGGGAACATGCATTTATTCCTCCTTTCCTGTGCTGAAATCCCAGGTAAGTAGCCTTCAGTCCCACACCACTTTGTCCCTGCCCCACGGGCTGATCTCCATGATTTTCCTGCCTTTCCATCCCTGGAGACATCCAGGTTGACATCATTATCTTCTCAAGGTCTTTGTTGCAGCCTGAAGTCAGCTGAGTGATGGATTCTTACACCCAGGAAAGGAGCAGATGTTTGTTGTGTGAGAATGAGTGTCTGTGTGTCCACGGCATGTTCACTTCCTCCTCAGTTTAAAGTTTTCCTCCCTTTTTAAGGAATATTCATGTCACTGCTTCCTTTCCTGAAGGGAAGTTTAAAATTGCTAAATAATTAGGTCTCATGAAGCCTTACCATGTTTACTAGAATGTAAGGTTTTTGGAGAGCAGTTTGGAATTTATAACCGATTTTACTGTATTTCGAAATACCAGTTTACTAACACTGAAGCTGTTCAAGGCAAAAGAACAACCTGAAGTATTTCAGTGAGCTACAAAAAATAAATTATATTTGAAGGGGATTGGAACTGGATGACCTTTTAAAGTCCCTTCCAACCCATTCTATGATTCTATGAAATCACGGATAATGCTGCATTTTTGATTTTCTGAATCCAAGTAATTTTATTTACATAAAAGCAACCTTTATTTTAAAGAATTCTACTCCATAAGCTAGTAATATATATAGTTCATATATATATATGCATATACTACATGTACTAAACATATAAAAGCGTATTTGTTATTCAATATATTGTTATCAACATGACAATATTTGTTGCCTAGATGGGAGTTTTGGCAATGATTGTGTAGGAAAATTCCCTTTTTTCTTCCCTATCTTTAGCTTTGCCTTCAGTATCCTAGATTTAAAATACAAAATATTTTAAAATATGAATATATAAATAATATTAAGCCATGGGCTCTTCCTGAGAGGTGCAAGGGAACGTGCTGGCGTGGTGTGACTGTGGTGGGTTGTGCTGATGTGGTCACCAAAACCTGGGCGAGGTGCTGAGGGCATTTCTCTGTCTCCCCAGTGCTGAATAAAGACATCACCACCTGCAGAACCTCAACCATCACGGGAACCCTGAAGCGCCCATCGCTGCCGGATGAGGAGAAACTGAAACTCAACCACCCAAAAGTGTCATCGAACTTCAACAGTCTTCCAGCCAACGTCTCAAAGATGCACCTCCAGGGCTCACCACACTACCTGGGGGCCATCAACCTGAACGAGTTCAGCAACCACTCCCTCACCCTGAAGAAGGACAAGAATCAGCCACCCAAATCCATCTACATCTGCGACGGGGACATCTTCAAGAAGTTGGACTCGGAGCTCTCGCGGGCGCAGGAGCAAACCCTGGACACCAGCTACGTCATCCTGCCCACCAACACGTCCACCCTGAGGGCCAAACCGCCCAAGGACGAGAGCAAATACAGCATCAACATCGACCAGATGCCTCAGACACGGCTCATCCACCTCAGCATGGCCACTGACCCGGGCTTTGTGGTCAAGAGTCCTCCCCGGGAGCCTGTGGCCATGGCGTGCAGCGAAGTCCAGGGTTCCTCCATGATCCAGCAGCAGCAGCAGCTGGCTCCACAGAATATCTCCAACGAGTCACAGATGCCCAACAGCCTGTGTGACACGGGTGACTCAGGGAACTCGGGTGTGGTGTCCAAGAGCGAGACCGTGTCCACCCTCTCCATGAGCTCCTTGGAGGTGAGCGTGGGATTTGCTGGGTTGTTCTCAGCCCGGGATGGTGCCCTGCCCTCAAAGGCAGGTGTTCCAAGAGAAGCACCTTAGGGCAGGTGCAGCCCACCATGCAATGCCAGTAGTATATTCCCAAGAGGGATCACCAGCACGGGATACTATTTTGGAATGTAATGTTTGAAATCTCTCACAACTTCCAAAGACAGATTTCATTTATGGATCAACTGCCTTTGGCCCTACAGGTACTGCAGGATCAAAGAAAAATGGTAGTTTGTCAAAGACTTCTCATTTTAATGCAAGACATGTGTCTTGCCTTGACTTTTCTCCTTCCATCCTCTGCCTCTGTTTCCCTCTTTGATGACTTCAGTCATGACACAGATGGGAAACTCCTGGTGATCCAGGGGTAAAGTGTCCCTAAGGCACATCCCACAATGTGGGAATGTCAGAGGTTTTGCACAAGTGCATCCCTCTCCTTTTGAGCTTTGATAACTCATTTGTATTTCAAGGCCAGGTTGGATGGGGCTTGGAGCAACCTGGTGTAGTGGAAGGTGTCTCTACCTCTAGCAGGGGGTTTCTAGATGATCTTTAAGGTCCCAACCCAAACCATTTGATGGTTCTATGATTCATGCTAGGGCTGATATTAGCAGTTGTTCCCAGACTTTAGATCTTACACCGAGGTCTGTCCTGGGGCATCTGGCCCTGTTCCTGGCTGTTGCCAGAGAGCAGGTCTTAACCACTGCCGTCCAAATTTCAGTCTCAGCTGGCTGGTGCTTGGAAGCTCCAGTAGATCCATTGGCTGATCTGTTCCCTCTCTGCTTCCCATTCTGTGAACAACCTGAAAACTCACAGCCAGGACAGAGCTCAAATTGGTCAAAATCCCATGCCCTCCTCAAGGTACACTGGTTTTGGTAGAGATCCCTCAAGGTGACCTAATTGTGGCCTTCCAGTACCTGAAGGAAGCCTTACCAGAAAGATGGAAAGGGACTTTTTGCAAGAGCATGTGGTGACAGGACAAGAGGGAGTGGCTTTAGACTGAAGAGAGTAGGTTTAGATTAGAGATTAGGAAGAAGTTCTTCCCTCTGAGAGTGGTGAGGCTCTGGAGAAGGTTGTCCAGAGAAGTTGTGGATGTCCCATTCCTGGAATTTTTTAAGGACATATTGGGTGAAGCACTGAGCAACCTAGTCTTGTGGAAGGTGTCCCTACCCATGCTGGGGGGCTGGAACTGGATGATCTTTGAGGTTCCCTCCAACCCAAACCATTCTATGATTCTAAATGCTTGGAACTTTTCATCATGAAGTGCCAGAGAAACATGTAGGAAGAAGGAAAAGGAGAAGGACTGTCCCTGTTTTATCTACTCTGATTGTATCAACCCCTCACTAACCTTCACTCTTCTCTTTCTCTCTCGAACACCCAGCGGAGGAAATCCCGGTATGCAGAGCTAGATTTTGAGGTGAGTACATCCTTTTAGGAATGTTCCTTTTGAGGGATAGGATGAGAAAAAGAAACAGTGCTTTCTTTTCTTTCTCTAGCCTTCTTTCCTGCTTTTGCCAAAGAGCTTCTTCAAGGGTTTAAAACTGGTGGGTTGGAAGAGTTGTGCTGGGGTAACAAGGCTTAGCCTGTGCAGCTAAAAAAATAGGGGATTTATTGTTAATGACCTTCATAGAATGAGCCTGGGTGGAAAAACTACTGTAGGTAAGGAGATATCTGTCCTCACACCTGAGGCACAGAGTGGATTTTTTGAAAAGCCAGTCCTTCACAGGGGCAGCAATCCTCACTCCGTCCTTCCCAGAAGGGCTGTCCTTTCCTTCTCTATCCTTGTCCAGTTCTGGGGAGGTCTCGTCTGGAGTGCTGTGTCCAGTTCTGGGCTCCTCAGGACAAGAGAGACATGGAACTCCTGGAGAGGGTCCAGTGGAGGGGGACAAAGATGATTAAGGGATTATCTGATGAGGAGAGGCTGAGGGAGCTGGGCCTGACTGAGAGGGGACCTCCCCCATGTCTGTCCGTGTGTGCAGGGAGGGGACAGAGGATGGACCAGGCTCTGCTCGGGGGGGCCCAGCAATGGCACAAGAGGGAATGGGCAGGAACTGATGCCCAGGAAGTTCCACCTGAACATGAGGAAGAACTTCTTTGCTGGGCAGTGACCCAGCGCTGGAACAGGTTGCCCAGAGACGGTGTGGAGTCTCCATCACTGGGGATATTCCAGACCCCTCTGGACACAATCCTCTGCCTTGTGCTCTGGGATGACCCTGCTGGAGCAGAGAGATTGGACCAGATGACCCATTGTGGTCCCTTCCAACCTGACCTAGCCTGACCCCATGATTCCCCTCACAGCTGCCACTTCTTCCAAAGCAGAGTCACATTAAGGGCCCAAGAACTGGAATCCCTTAATGCTGGAATCACTTCAGAGCTCCAGGCTGGGAATTTTGTCTGAAATTGAGGCACCACGGCACATCTAAGCTGCCACCTTCTCCACTTGTCTAGCCCTTGGCAGAGCACAAGGACAAGCACATATGGAAATCCATATTCAGTGTACTCTCACATGCCAAGGGAAGTTCTTACAGAAATCAGTCCTGGCCCCCGTTTCTGGGCAGTAGAAGGTAGAAGTGAAATGCAGATGGGTCAAATTGAAAGGAAAAAAAAAAGAAATTATGGAACAGTTTCTGGTGGAACTTCCCCAAATTCTACATGTTTGTGTATTTACTGGTGACTTACTGAGAACAGGGTTTTCATGGGGTCATGTATCAGTTAAAGAAGGTCAGCAAAGCTTCCTAGGTCTGTCTAGTAGAACACTACCAGTCAAGCACAAACTGTGCAGCATTAAAAGTTGGTTCTTGCAGGTTTAGGGTAATGGTACAGTCAAAAATTAATAATTCTTACTTTCTTCCACCATCTCACCTTGAAAATAAAGGCAGTGGTACTGTGGGTCCTCAGGAAATGTTGAAAGTATTTAGTGCACAGCAGATTTTGCCTGCAGGGAGACAGATCTTGGATTTTGTAACTCTGGGGGGGAGGAAATGCTCCTTCTGAATTGAGTTTTGCTGACCTGTGGCCTTTTGTGTTTGCTCCAGAAAATCATGCACACGAGGAAACGTCACCAAGACATGTTCCAAGACCTGAACAGAAAACTCCAGCACGCAGAGAAGGACAAGGAGTCTCCAACAACGGACAGCAAGGTCAGTCAGACACTTCCAGAGCCATCATCTCCAACAGGAGCATGGGAAGCAGCAGGAAGGTTTAGGAGCACTCGCTGAACACTTTCCCTTGGTTTTCTGTCCATGGGTGTTGTAACAAACACATGCAACACAAAGGACAGGGAGACTCACAGAGGTGCCACCAGCTTGTCTCCTGGTCAGCAGCCCAGAAGGAGGATGTCTGTCCTCGTGTCTGTCCATGGTGTTGTCTGCTTTGTGTTTGTGTCTGTTCTTTGCATTCCCTTTCAGGCCATCTCTTTGTGCCCTGTACATCCACTCATAGCTGGCAACTGGAAATTAAGATGAAATCCAGGTGGAAACGGGAGAGGGCAGGAGGAGGGGATGGCAGGAACCATCTACTCGATGTTATGGGGCCAAGTCAGAGGTCAAGGTGACAGGGATGGGCTGTTTAGGAAGGCCACAGCAATGAGATTTAAGCTGTGGGGTTGGCAGCACGTCCTGGGGACTGAACCCTGATTAAATGTGGGTTATTGGTGGCAGCTGATCACCACATCCATGTAATATGGGAATACAGAAATGGACCAGTCCAGATGAGGACAGGAAGATGCTCCGAGGGCTGGAGCACCTCTCCTGGAAGGAAAGGCTGAGAAAATTGGGATTGTTCAGCCTGGAGAAGAGAAGGCTCTGAGTTGACCTCGTTGTGGCCTTTCAGTACCTAAAAGAGCTGGAGAGGGACTTTGGGCAAGGGCCTGGAGTGACAGGACTGTGATGGTCAACAAAGGGGAAGTGCTTTAACCTGAAAGAGTGAAGGTTTAGATGGGATACTGGGGAGAAACTTTTCCTTGTGAGGGTGATGAGGCCCTGGCACAGGTTGCCCAGAGAAGCTGTGGCTGCCTGAAAGTGTTCAAGGCCAGATTGGACGGGGCTTGAAGCAACGTGGGCTAGTGGAATGTGTCCCTGCCCATGGCAGGGGGCTGGAACTGGATGAGCTTTATGGTCACCTCCAACACAAACCATTCTAGGATTCCATAATATACATGGTTTTCCTCAACAGGAGCAAACTTCCAAGGAAAAGGAGACTTTAGGGGAAGGCAGTTTGAGGGAGGCAGCTTTTCAGAGGGGCAGAGATGTGGGACTAGAACCAGATATCAGGAGCCTGTGTAGTAAGTGATATAGATGATACAAATAAGGGAGGGCAGGCTGGTGGCACCTTCCACATGTCTCAGCCAGCTGGGCAAGGACTGAAAGGATGCAGGGAAGTCTGTTGGCTCCAGCAGAAGGGAAAAACAGGTGTCAGAGCCAGATTGGCAGGACAAATTAAATTTGGGGGTTGCTTGCACTCAGAAGAGGGGCAAGGTGAGCTAATTATGACATTCTTGGTCATTTATAATCAAAGTCCCTCATGACAAGAAAGACATTGAGGGACTGGAGAGGGAAAGGAGCTGGAGCATAATTCTGATGACGAGAAGCTGAGGGAGCTGGAGGGGCTCAGCCTGTAGAAAAGGAGGCTCAGGGAGGACCTTTTTGCTCTCTACAACTCCCTGAAAGGGGTTTGTAGCCAGGTGGGGGTCGGTCTCTTATCCCAGGTAACAAGTGACAGGATGAGAGGAAGCAGCTCCAGTTACAGCAAGGAAGGTTTAGCTTGGATGTTAGGAAAAATTTCTTCACTGAAAGGGTTGTCAAGCATGGGAAGAGGCTGCTGAGGGAAGTGGTGGAATCACCATCCCTGGAAATGTTAAAAAAACCATATGGATGTGGTGCTTAGGGACAGGGTTTGGTGGTGGCCTTGGCAGTGCTAAGGGTTGGACTTGATGATCTTAGACCAACCTTAAGGATTCCATGATTTTAAGTCAGATCCAGGATGCAGCATGACCAAGTTGGGGCTGATTTTGATGGGACTCCCTTAGAGGCAAGACCAGAGCTGAGAGGGTGATTGAACAATAGGTTTAGTTTGGTTTTTGGGGGAAGCAGAGCCCTGCAGAGCCTTTGGTCTGTGTTCAGATCTCCCAGCATTGCTGTGCTGAGCTCCAGAGGTGTTATCCCGGCAAATCCCACTTTTATTGCCCATGGCAAGGTGTCATTATGGGCAGCAGAATGAGAGGGATAGTGGATCTAGCAGGCAGGTCCAGATCAAAGAAGCCTGTGGTGGCCCAGAATCCCAAAGTTTCACTGAACATCATCTCTCTGCTTTATTTTTTCTATTATTTAGGATCAATGCAGCTATAAAGCCAAAAATGCTTAAACACCACATACAAGCTAATCCATGGGATGTTTGCAGCAGGGTTTTATAGATTGAGGTGTCTTTAGCATTTCAGAGATGTATCTGTGTAGAATTAAAGTTGCCACTGTCAGCATCAAAGGGCTCTGAGCTGCTGAGGGGAGCTCTGAAGGTGGCCTTTGCATATTGACTGAGTCTTATTCAAGTTAGGATTTTCCCTGGGATCTAACCCAGGAGGGGGAGCTTGTGAAGATCAGTATTGGCAAGTCAGGAGCAGGTATTGGTTTAAAAACCTCCAAAGCAGCACAAAGCAAAATAAATAGCTTTTTTTTTCCCACCCCTTTTTCTACCATTCGCTGCTGAGGAACCTGCTGGAACCTCCTGCCCCATCTTCAGCTTGCCCTGAAGGGGAGGCAAACTGCAGATACCGGGGATTAAAGTAACAACAAAAGAACATTTTTCTCTTTTATGTATGTTTAGGTTATAAAACGCTGGAGTGTTTCTTCTGGTGGCAGTGATAAAACAAACGTTAGCGTAAGTCTGGCTTTCACTTTGCATCAAAGAGCATTCCAGACCTATCCCAACCCCTTCCATAACGTGAATCCAAACTCATTCCTTCACCAGCAGGAAATAACTCATTCCTTCACCAGCAGGAAATTCCTTGCCTTGTGGGCATGAACAAGGTCGTAAGGGTCCTGGGATACCCTTGAACTCTTTCTCACCATGGAGCAGGAGGGATATTTTATGAGTCTAGTCCGTCTGCCTGCATTGCTGTTATCTTTGATTTCTCTTTCAAATAAGCAACCACAAAGTCAAGGCTCCCCAGCCCTGGCAGTTTCCCAGCCTCTCCTGGCAGCATGACCCGTTGTCCTCAGTCCTTTCCAAGTTATGATGCTTTTCCTAATCTTCTCACTCTTCCTCTCTCCTCCTTCAACTCCAAAGTCAGGAAGGTGCTGCTGAGACTTGAACTAAATAAACTGTTGTCTGCACAACACAGACATCCTTTGGGAATTCCTAGGAATGATACTGACCATTTTTAGGGATTTGGTTTGGATATAAATGCCAGTCCTCTGTACTCCAGTGCACTGGTCAAACCTGATTATCCTGTCACAATAAATACGTAGTTCATATCAAATGAACTACAAAATTATCGGATTTTAAGGAAACACCAACAGATTAATGGGATGAAGAAATAGCTTTTTTGTCTCTTTAGGAAAAGGGGTTGAAAATTCAACCATCACATGTGTTTACTGCTGAGAATTTCTCCAGATTCATTGGTAAAACATCAATTTTAAAGGGTCTTCAGCAAAGAGAAGGTTTGTCCCAGCACATGTATTCCTGCTCTCCAAGTATCCTGACACATGGAAACTTTGGATAAGTGTTACCTCTGTGTACACTTGAAAAATGAAGAGGAATGTCCTTTGCTCACTGTCCCAGAGTTATTTCTGCAGAGCTGGAAACATAATCAGGGACTCAGAAAATCGTTAAAGTTGAAAAAGACCTCTCAGATCAACCATTAAACCACCACTAAACCATGTCCCCAAGTGCCACATCTTTTTAATCCCTCCAGGGATGCGGACTCCACCACTGCCCTGGGCAACTGGGCCAGGGCTGGACAACCCTTTCAGTGAAGAAATTTTCCCAAATATCCAATTTAAACCTCAACCTGGCACAGCCTAAAGACATTTTCTCTTGTTTTGTCACTTGTTACTTGACAAAAGAGACTGACCCCCACCTGGCTGGAACCTCCTCTCAGGGAGTTGTAGAGAGTGAGAAGGTGGAGACAGGTTTGGAGATGGATTCTGCTTTCCCATCACCCTATGACCAAGGGGTCCTAATCCACATCCCACTGAGATTGGGATGTCCTTTCTTAGGCAATAAACCATATTTTTTTCAGTTTATTACATGAAATTTATTCCACGTGACATTTAGATTTTAAAATCTCTACCTCAACTATAAAATGCTCCAATTGGAAGCACCCTCAGCTATTCCTGCTGAAAATCACGTGGACCAAAGCACACAGGATCCCACATCCACCTGGCCATTCCCCTGCAGCAGAATACAGGGGTCTCACTCATAACAGCTTTAAGCTGAAAAAATGTGATTTAGTTTGGATGTAGGGAAGAAATCCTTCCCTGGGAGAGGGTGGGGAGGCCCTGGCACAGGTTGCCTAGAGAAGCTGTGGCTGCCCCATCCCTGGAAGTGTCCAAAACCAGGTTGGATGGAGTTTGGAGCAAGCTGGTCTATTGGAAGGTGTCCCTGCCCGTGGCAAGGGACTGGAAATAAATGGTCTCTAAAGTCCATTCCAACCCAAACCATTCTGTGATCTGTGGCTTTATGGACTAATCAGGGATGTGGACACTGTTACCCAAAGCTCATTTTTCAGTGCTGGAATTAAGATATGAGCAGCAAGATCTCATGGCTGCAAGTTGAAAAATCAATTTTTTTAATGCATCTAATAGATCTCTGTATGACCTTACCATGACCTTTCCAACTCAGGATATTCTAGGATTCGGAGGTAAATTTTGTCTCCCTTGCAGTCTTGAACTTCACATAAAGCAAGGAAGGTGGAGGTGATTTTTTCCTTACACAGAAGGAAGTTATAGCATTGTAGGCAGGACTTCTTTGCTCCTGTTATGCTGGAATTTGGGACAGATTATCTCTGTCCACCTGAAGAGATGTAAAATCTAAAAATAGCATCTCAGGAGCAGGTTTGCTTTGCTCACCCTCTTCTCAAAAGGCTCACAGCCAACCTGTCTGTGGATATTTCACACTGTTGCCCTTCCATTTTATCCCAGACCAA